GCTGTGTGTGTAATGCTGTGTATCTGTGTAATGCTGCGTGTCTGTGTAATGCTCTTTGTGTGTGTAATGCTGTGTGTGTAATGCTGTGTGTCTGTGTAATGATGTGTGTTTGTGTAATGCTGTGTGTGTGTAATGCTGTGTGTGTCTGTGTAATGCTGTTTGTGTGTAATGCTGTGTGTCTGTGTAATGCTGTGTCTGTGTAATGCTGTGTGTCTGTGTAATGCTGTGTGTGTCTGTGTAATGCTGTGTGTAATGCTGTGTGTCTGTCTAATGCTGTGTGTGTGTCTGTGTAATGGTGTGTGTATGTGTAATGCTGTGTGTGTAATGCTGTGTGTCTGTGTAATGCTGTGTCTTGTAATGCTGTGTGTCTGTGTAATGCTGTGTGTGTCTGTGTAATGCTGTGTGTGTAATGCTGTGTGTCTGTGTAATGCTGTCTTGTAATACTGTGTGTGCTGTGTAATGCTGTGTGTCTGTGCAATGATGTGTGTGTGAGTAATGCTGTGTTGTCTGTGTAATGCTGTGTGTGTCTGTGTAATGATGTGTGTCTCGTAATGCTGTGTGTCTGTGTAATGCTGTGTTGTCTGTGTAATGATGTGTGTCTCGTAATGCTGTGTGTGTCTGTGTAATGCTGTGTGTCTGTGTAATGCTGTGTATCTGTGTAATGCTGTGTGTGTCTGTGTAATGCTGTTTGTGTGTGTAATGCTGTTTGTGTGTGTAATGCTGTGTGTCTGTGTAATGCTGTTTGTGTGTGTAATGCTGTTTGTGTGTGTAATGCTGTGTCTGTGTAATGCTGTGTGTATGTGTAATGCTGTGTGTAATGCTGTGTCTGTGTAATGCTGTGTGTGTGTAATGCTGTGTCTGTGTAATGCTGTGTGTTGGGGAGCGATAGTGTAGCGGTTAGCGCGCTGCGCTAACCGATGATCTGAACCGGTCCCGGGCCTCCCCTAGGTCGACTCAGCCTCAAGTGAGTATCTGGTGCGGTGTATAAACATCGCCACTGGGGAGACAAAGGCGGCCGGGCGTGGTGCTGGCCACCCAACCCCCTCGTGTGCCGTGCTGACCTTCATAGGCGCTCGCTAACAACAGTCTGTTAAGGCGATACGCGGGGTTGTTTGGTGTTAATGTATAGTTCTGAGAATAATGAGAAGGCCGTCTTTGTCTCTCCCAGCCGCAGACATCCCTCTTGAGCACGTGAAGGATGAACAGCAGAGATTAAAGTGACCCTTGAGCACGTGAAGAATGAACAGCAGAGACTAAAGTGACCCTTGAGCACGTGAAAGATGAACAGCAGAGACTAAAGTGACCCCCCCCCTACCGCCACCATCAACCTCCACACATCCACGGGGTGCGCAGTGCGAGGCCGACTCGCTTTTTTTCAATCCCACAATGCACTGGGGCTGGAACAACGCGACGTAAAATCCATACAAGTATCGCACAATAAGCACATTTTAGACGCGAAAACTGTGATTATCCTTAAAACAATGATATTAATATTGGTTTCAAATGTTTGTGAGCACGATTTTTAGTAAATTATTTAAAATAAAATAACACCAATTTTTGTGGTGCCCATAGGCTAAATAAGCCCCTTTCCGCCATACTATAAATACCCGTCGCGACACTAGTGTGTATGTACTTGCTCCGGCAGTACATATACTAAAATTGGAACGATACAGAGAAGATTAGCATGGCCCCTGCGCAAGGATGACACGCAAATTCGTGAAGCGTTCCATATTTTATCACATTTTAATAAATATATTATGCTCTGCCATACCTGCTCGGGCACATGCCAATTCGTTAGTAGTACAGCAGGACACCGGTGTGTTGGAGAGCAAAGCCGCAACATTTACAATCTGATCTTGACTTGAAACTTTCGTGACTGCAGTAATCCATACTGCGGGACTCCTGCAACCACGAAATCATTAAGTGACGACAAAGCCCCCTCCCCTTCCCGTGCCTGTATAAAGCCACAACACCAGATAATTATTTCTCGCCTGATGACGGACGCTTGTGTTGCGACCGAAACGTCGTGTTCTATTATTTTTTTCTTCTATTTACGTGACTTTACCGAAAGAACCAGACAATATTTACAATCTGAGTACGACGTTTCGCCAGCAATTAGGGCACATTTTTAGTTGAGCCGATCAGGACGCGTCCAACCAAATGCCAATGTTGGCCCAACATTCGCATTTTTACTGGAAATCTCATCTCCCCCTGTGTCCTCGTGTCTCCATCTCCCCAACACATGTTCCCTGTGTCTCCTCATGTCCCCGCCTCTCCTTTGCGCACAGTCTCATGTAGCTTGCAGTCGTTTTGTGTCGTATCAACTCATTCATTTGCGGAACACGTGGTCGCCTCTTTTTGGATAAAGTCTCAGGATCTTTAACGTCCACTTTGAAGCAGACTGTGCGTGTTTGTGGTTAATATTTCCAGAGTATTATTAATCAGGGTGGCTGTTAGACTAAAACTACGAACCTCTTTAAAACATGACTTGATGTATCTTGAAATGCGTTGATGCGCTACTTTGTGAGGAGTTGTATAATAACTAACAGTGGAATCGTGCATTCACTCATTCGTCAATTAATATCAATCCTAAAGCGGACGATAGAGTGTACAGTGTCAAATTGTACGTGTACTAATTGTCATTTACCGAACCCCGTTTATGCTTTAGTATTTTACCCCAAGTATTCCAATGCGTCGTGTCGTGAGATGAATAATTCATTCAGAAATATTGCAGGGCGGCTTTGCAAAAGAACGGCCGACAGAAGAGTGGCTAACACGGAGCCACTTCTGAGATATTTTCAAGTGACGTCTTTTCAATACGAGAGGCTGCATATGACGATCGCCCCGTACGTCTCAATAGCACCATAACACAGTCATTAGTGTCTGGGCTGAGTCCCTCATCTCACTACACTTGAGAAATTCACATTTAAACCCAGGATCTTAGAAGTGGCGACTCAGCACTCTGACCCCTGAGCCACCCGGCCACCGCTTCAGCCCCCTGTTGTTTAGCAGAGCTCTTTCCCAGACAAAACACTACGAGGTTCACGCCAATTAACCAGAAAAGCCTTATTAGAGCATTTATTTATAATTATGAACGTTATTGTAATCGTAATAGCTTTATCAAGACGAGGGTATGAAGAGCTTGAACCCATAATGGCGTTGGCTGTGTACCAAAGATGACCATGATGAACCCAATGAAGAGACACTCAGACCAAGGGTTGTACTGCAGAAACTCAGCCCTGCTATGTACCTTAATTTCTCAGACATGGCCATTATGAATCCCCAGACACCCAGTTCCAGCTCGAACTCAAGACCTCTACAATGCTGCTTTCAGTGTATGTGACAGGGCCAATCTCATGAAATAGTAGCTTTTGATAAGCAAATTACATAATTGTGTTTTTTTACATCTGCGTGCCAACATTTCACAAGGAATTCACCGAGTGAATGATTGCATAACAGGAAAAAAAACATCCAAGTGTTTTTATGTTTAGTTTAATTGTTTTAAAGAAATGAGTTCAAAATCCTTCCTGCAATATCAGGTGTCAGAGACAATGAGCCATCGTTAAGTCCTGGGTAAAGCCCATGAGCTACGTTTTTCTCTCTTTCACTGGGTTTATAATGACCATGTCAGGTTGATTATGGACAAGTCACGAGAAACGAGCACTACCGAGACCCTGGCATTGAGCCGAGGGTCTGAGCGTCTCTATGTCATGTACACGCACGGGCGTTTTGTTAATCCACTGCTGGATTATGGCCTCCCCATGCGTTGGTTACTGTGGGTTGGAGGTGGAAGCATTTTTCTTTTGTACGGCAGTGTGTATATAGATGGCATAGGTGAATGTCCTTCAACCAATCCAAGGCGGCAGTAGATGCTGCGATACCGCCAGATTGTGCATGGATGGCGCACTCGTCGGTGATGTGTTTCACGGTTTGGGCTTTACCACAGTCGCAGATTGGTGAATCTTTGATTTTACATTCATGGAACGTGTACGCACACCTCCCGTCCTGCGTCAGTGTGGTCCACAGACGCCGTGAGAGAAAGAATCGCGGCACTTCCACGGTCGGGTCCTCAATGATGTTTTAGCCGCACACCCTTCAGACCATCGAGTACCGGTGTATACAAGTACAGTACAACAGTAGATTAAGCTGTATTGCCCTGTGCTACCCTCAACGTAGCCCAAGTTTCTATGTTAGGGGCTTCATCATGACGGTGCCAGAGCCATTAAGATTCTGGGTTTCGGCACCAATAACCCCACAAAACCAAAACATTGAACAATAAAACAAATTCCACTTAAATTCCCGCTTAATTTGGTCACACTGCAGGCATAATTTAACAACCATAATATAGGTTTTTTGGGGGTGTTAGATCGCATAAATATAAATCTGTCGTTAAACCCATCACCACCCGACACAGCCAATAAGTAAGGTTTGTCACACAAACAGAACATGCCAATTCGTTCCTAGTACAACACATCGGTGTGTTGGAGAGCAAATACATAACATCCACAATCTGAGTACGACGTTTCGCCAGTAATAACAACTGGCATCACCAGGTGGCAGGCAGATTTGTGAATGTAAATAAAATCGGACGACTAACACATGGCAAACCACCCTTCGTGAAAACTTGAAGGGGAGCTGTTAAGAGGTTGTTGGTGAGGCCCGTTAAAGATAACCCTCCATTGAAACATCATGTTCCAGAGGCCGTGCCCTGTCATGATGCTATCAGGCTGTGATCATTGCGAAGTTTTGTGTGGAATAGCCTCGACAACTTGCATGGCAAGGAGAGGACCTCGTCCCAAAGAGGACTGACAATACGGCTTCACATTTACATTCACATGATTAAAAAGGTTTCAACAAAATGGGATGCCGTGGGGTTTATTTTTTTTCAAAGATTGTTTAATAAAATTCATTTTTTTTAAGAGCTGGATTTTCTCAAAAGAATTACAGGAAAAAAATAGAAAAATAAAACGTACAGTAAGAATGTCTTATCCAAAGTATAATCGATAACAATGTGCTTTATTTACCCAGCAAAACCTCGCTTAGTCTCAACACTTTTTCCAAACGGTCCAGCTTGAGGATATTTGGCGAATTTTTTTTGTTATGTTTTAGTTTGGCTTTATATGGAGGGAAGCCAGTTTGCCTGGAGAAAACCCAACATGCTTGCGAGGGGGTCATACTGGATAAATAAGCGATAGGTATTTGTCAGCAACCTACTTGCTGCAATGTAATTTGTTGGACAGCAACAGCCAATGAGAAATTACCTCGTCTTAGGAAACTCGTAACCAGGTTCCAAAAGTATATTTCAAATACATTTAAAACTCTTGTTATTAACAATGATTAAAGAAGCAATTATAACAGGTTAGTCATAAACAAGCAGCGGTAGTTATTTAAATAAAATATTTGACAAAGTATGTTGCGTATAATTTTTTTTACACATTTGGACCAACCATCTGAAACATGTTTTCCCCCACTGGCCATACCAATTCTCAACATTGATAAGCGAATGCACCGTGGTAAAGTGTATATACTTTACTATGCTTTTACGAGTTTACACTCTGTTAAGCGACAGAACAGCATGAGTACTTACCCAACGAAAAATGTGCCCACAACTGTGTGGCAACGCCTTATATCTTCGCATTGCTGAAATTTACTTTTCTCAAAGTTGGTTTCTTTTGTATATTTTTGTTTTGTTCAGACAGAATACACGAAATAGTTTACAGGCCTGTTGAGATTAATTTAAGTCCCAACCAGTCCAGGATTTGGCGTGTTTAGACAAAAGCTCTTGTACTACGCTGATGCAGAAGGCACACTGGTCGCTTGATTAAATGTATCGTTAAATTAAACAGCCTTATTGATAAATGTGCATGTTAAGAGATTGCTTACTAACAAGCCCCGCTGCAATAAATGTGGAATCATATGGCAGCTGATATCTTCCTACGCCTTTGTGAAATTAATCATTGGCTAAGTTTTGTTTATGAAAAATACATTTACGATTCTGCGTGTAAAGCGCTTTTATACCATAAATGCAGAACCAAGTGCTGCACTTGCGATTATAATAAATTAATCAAATCAACATCTTTTCAACTGCAAACTACTGCGGTTTGCCATGCGTTATCACAGGTGAAATTGAGGCATTTTTGGGATTCTTAAGTTCATTAGAATGCCAAAAAAACACTGAAAGGCCTATACCGACGCTGGATTCATACTATTGAAGTGTTTAAAAAAATAGTTGCCAAAAGGCATAAAAACTGCCAGATTCATCGGTGTTATTTGAACCCAGTTGCCCGTTATTACAGTTACAATGATTTCGCAGGCAATCACATTGTGAGTTCTTGTCAATAACCGGTGGATAGAGGCTGGATGAGAGCTCTTGACTTCCCTTTCACCTTGGTGACTCACCCCAGCAAGTTAACTGAAAATAGGCAGAGCGCCCAGGCAAAAGGCACGGAAGGGCCTATTTCGGCAGATAAAGCTTAATTGGTATATTACAGAAGAAACGACATTACTCTAAGCAGATATATAAGCATTTATATGTGAATAAGGTGCAGAAATGTTGTATGTATTTACAATGCTCATTTTACATAAGCTAAAACGTTTTCTTCGACAATCATTACACAAATTTGCTCAAAATACTGCCAGATAATGTGAAACGTCTGATCATACGAAGACATTTCAATCAATTACAAAACAATCTCCCAAGTCAGGTCTCTGTCACTCACATTTCAGTCATTTAACGCCCAACAACTGGGCGAGTAGAATTCATGATGGCAAGGTTACGGTCACACGGAGACGGCACGGATTTTTTTTTTAGCGTTCTCCATCATAGGCGTAGAGTTTCTCTGGACACTCCGGTATCCTCAAATGTGCAACAAAAACTCAGTGAGAAATTGGTCAAACTTCCCAGGCAAAGGACCTTCAGCTTCACGATTGAGGCAGAGATTATTGGTATTTCAGCCAATCGCTGAAATAAAACTCCACCATGATCTCCTTGCAGTCAATCCTAAAGGTAATTTAATTTTTAATAAGTCATTTATCCAGAAAAGCCTCACTGAGTCTCAAGACTATTTTTAGAAGGTTCCTGTATTGGTATGATTGATCAATGCCTTTCTGTTGTTTCACATTTGAATAAACCAGAGTATTTGGAGAAACCCAGGCAGGCAGGGGGATGACACTCATGTTCTACGATACAATATCAGTAGGTAGCTTACTTGCTTTACTGATGTACAGTTTATTATTTTACTAACAGTACCATGTAAGAAATATAATTATGATATTGACTACATTTATGATTAAACTGAAATAAATTCTCAGTTCGTCAACTTGACTTGGTTACCTTGCGATTTTCTGAATTATCTGTTAAATCGCCTGCGATTTACGACCAATCGGTAACCGTGATTTAACTACAATGTAATTTTTATACAGCGTCTAAATGGGACTGCAACCCTAGACGCGATAAAGAAACTATGGGAATATTTGTTGAATACAGAGAGGCAGTCGGGCACGTATATATGCATGTTGAACTTATTTCGCACCGTACGTAGCCAACCGTGTTAATCGGAGGTGTGGCATAGGCAGAGGTCAAAAGCAAGGCTTTGAGCCTGGACTTGAACAAGCGCGCGGGGGAATTGGCAGCCGAGATGGCTGGGGAAAGGCAGCTCCAGACAACTGGGGCAAGAAGTGATTGAAGCAGCCTCCCACTGAGGAAAGGTTGACTAGGGCTTATAGAACAGCTTTGATTGCTGGAGTGTGATTTATTATAAAATTAAACGCAAATGACCGTGTGCAATACCAATCAGTGTAATGAAAAAAAACAAATATGGTTCACACTAAAGGCAAGCATTGACAGTGATGCATACGCACAAACAATATCTTCCACCTTTGTCAGGAACACTGCCTCATTGTAATAATTTAATATTACATGGTGTATTGCGTTATGTATGTTGAGTGGATCGTGTTCACATATTACTTTGTGTTGTTTTGTGTATTGTGTTGTTTTTGTATTGTTTTGATGTGACTGTGTTATGCATTGCGCTCTGAATGTGTTGCGCATTGCGTTGTATTTTGAGGCGTGAATTGCGTTTCATTTGTCCGTGTCATGTATTGTGTTGTCATGCTTGTGATATGTACGTGTTGTATTGTTGTTTCTTAGTTTGATTCTGTGTTGTGTTGGTGTTATGTTTGGTGCTGCATCACAAACACCGTGATATTGGTCCTCTATTAAACATCCTAGACCTCAAGGCCGAATTAGGCATCAAGCCCACATCCAGGCCTGGACGTTTTCAGGCCCAAAGCCTCAGTCAGTCCCGGGCTTGGCAAATGTTTTCAGGTGACCACCGCCTCCGTTTTCAGTAAGAGATGGTTGAAGCCCATTCGATCGGAACCCCTGGTTCATTTCTTCAAACTTGATGGACGCCCCGAAGCCATTTCCAACCTAATGAACAAAAAGTAACACATACGAAATAATCATGCACACGCATGGATTCTGTAATGCTTTACAAAATGCATTTGTCCTCAGAAATATTGAATTCGCGATATTTATGTTACGTCCATCAAAAAACCCACAATGGAATTACTTCATATGGCTTATGACTCGTGATGTCAAGAGATGATGTCATTAAGTGTTAGGTCATCGCCTTGACTGGCAAAGCAGAAACTTTTAGTGCTGTTTTTTGTTTCTTACAAAGGCTTTGGCAATCCTTTGATAAATGTGGCCAGTATTCTCTAGAATAATAAGTCCCGAATAGCAATACTACTTTATATTAAATATATTTTTGCATTGCATCATCTTTGCGAGTTATCGTGATCCCCACTTTACATGCACACAGACAAAGCTACACGAATGCCTCGAACCTGAATTCGATAGTATTAAAATGAATTTCAAACCCTGGAGACAAACCACATATTCAAGAGATATATAACACTCTTAGAGGAGAGCACTGAGCAAACCTGGAGAAACCTGTAGTTGCATTAGAGGGGAGAAAGTGATCCCACTGAGCTGCGTGTTTGTGTGTGTCAGCAGAATGGGAGCTGTCGTGTCGCGGTTAGCGCTACGCTGCGCTACGAGCCCAGTGACCCGGGTTCGATTCCCGCTCATGGCTACCAACACCAGTGACGATTATCTGAACCAGTCCTGGGCCTCCCCTAGGTCGACTCAGCCTCAAATGAGTACCTGGTGTGGTGTGTAAACATCGCCACTGGAGAGGCAAAGGCGGCTGTGTGCGGTGATGGCCACCCATCCCCTCGCGTGCCATACTGGCCTTTATAGGTTCTCGTGAACGGCACTTGCCCCAACAGGCTATCACAGGCTACACGGGGGATCTTTGTCTTTGCTTCTTTGCAGAATGCCCCTGGGATTAAAGGGTGACAGCGGGGATCTCACCGAGCCCCGTGTCCGGGTTCCGTGGCCACTGGAGGATGATGTTGATCCCCTTACGAGTTCCGTGTAGCCGCAGAGACGCCGCGCGATTCGAACGTACTCGTCACGCACCTGCGCACGAGAGCACGACGGTTGGGTTGACAGCCTTGCATTGGACGGATGTTCCTGGTTATTAGGTGTGTGTTGCTTCATGTGTTTGTCTTTTGTGAATGTGGGCTGTCTCGGGGCCTCCAGCCAGCGAGCCATCGACACTTCACGTGGCCTAAAGGTGCACCCAGCCTCGTACAAGTGCTGTGGTGATGTCACCGCCACTTAGTGGCAAACGGCGATTTGTTGTCGTTTTTGTGTAGTTAAGAGGCAATTTCTTGGGGGAGCATTAGTCTAGTGGTTAGCGCACTGCACTATGAACCCGGCGAGCCGAGTTCAGTGGTGAATATTTTAACTAGTCCTCGGCCTCCTCTAGCTCAAATCGGCCATAAATGAGTGTCTGGTGTGATGTGTAACCATCAGCACTGGGGAGACAAAGGCAGTCGGGCTTGGTGTTTTTCACACCCCTCCTGCCCATGAACAGCACTTGCCCAAAAAGCCTACGAAAGTTGCATGGGGGATCATTGTTTTATGTTTGTTTATGTGTGTGTGCGTATATGTACACGTGTGTATGTATATGTGTATTTATATTCCTGGGCCTCCCCTAGGTTAACTCAGCCTCAATTTTATACCTGTTGCGGTGTTTAAAAACATCGCCACTGGGGAGAGAAAGGTGGTCGGGCGTGGTCCTGGCCACCCACCCCTTCGTGTGCCGTGCTGACCTTCATAAGGTGCTCGCTAACAGCACTTGCCTTAACAGTCTATTGAGGCTATACAGGGGATCTTTGTCTCTTTGTTTTATATGTATACGTGTGTATGTATACGTGTGTATGTATACGTGTGTATGTGTACGTTGTTTATAGACCTTCTTCTGCAGCAGGCAATGGAAGATGTAAATGAAGAGCCCCTGCAGAGCGGCGAACACCGTGAAGATGTAGAGTGCGAAGGCGGTGCCATCGCTCACGTAGAACAGGGCAAACACCCAGGGCACGCCCAGCAGGAAGGTGAGGGCCAGTGATGACAGCACCAGCACCCTGAAGTTTACACACACACACGCACAAGCAAGATAGAGAGACAAGATAGAGACAACATCCCCTGGCCAGCACCACGCCTGGCCGCCTTCGTGTCACCGAGTGGTGATGTTTTTACACGCCGCACCAGGTACTCATTTGAGGCTGGGTTGACCTAGAGGAAGCCCAGGACCGGTTTAGGTAATTGTAAAAGGTGTTGGCCGTGAGCGGGAATCGAACTCGGGCTGCCGGGTTTGTAGCGCCGTGAACTAACTGCTGCACCACCGCTCCCCTGCCCCACACACGCACACACACGTACGTATAAACACACGTGCAGTGTGTAACCACAGAAACAAGACAACTCATGTAAACCTCCCTTGGTCATTTCAAACCCGTGTCTAAATTTGGAACCCTTCCTTGTTTATACATTAGGAACTCCTCCGTGTCTCTATTTTTAAGTAAAAAAATTCCAACTAGCACAGGAAAAGACACAAGAGAAATTTACCAGATACAAAGCCCGCCTCCCCATCTCCCGCCCTCTTCCCAGAATCCTCCACACCTCCCCAAAGCCCGACTTACAATGACCGGAAACTTACAAAGCCTTCTATTGTTATTACCATCTCATTACGGTCCTCTAACAACATATTAAATATCCACTGCTGGGTGAAAGCCTCCCCACGCTGTATATGGGTGCAGAGGCTCAGTGGGTAGTCGCGCTGTGCGATTCCAGGCCACGGCTAACATCAGTGGCGAATGGAATATGAACCGCTGCTGCCACCTTGCTCTCCCCCCCTTTCGCCAATTGACGAGCATGGTGAAGTATGGTCAAATAATCCCCATGGCCCCCATGGCATGGGAAGGCGCTTATCCAGCAAGGGATCCACAAAGTAAAACTGAACTAGTTTTTATTTTACCAGGTAAGGCCCACTGAGCTATATGTAGCTCTTTTTCAGAAGCGACCTGGCCACAAATGAGAGCTCAACGAAGGAAGGGGTTTACCACGTGGAAATTTGCAGCAGACGAATACTCTAAACGCACGTTTCTAAATGTGGAGGGAAAAACTGGAGGACCCGGAGAAAAATCCACGTGACCATGGTGAGAGAGACGTGCAATCTCCAAATATACAACGGGCGTCAGGATCGGGATCAAATCCACGACCTCCTGTATACCAGGTGAGAAAGTGAACATCTCGCCACCATGGCACCCAGTACTAAAGGAATGTGTGTGTGTGGTGTGTGTGTGTGTGGTGCGTGTGTGTGTGGTGCGCGTATGTGTGGTGCGTGTGTGCGTGTGTGCGGTGCGTGTGTGTGTGGCGCGCGTATGTGTGGTGCGTGTGTGTGTGTGGTGCGCGTATGTGTGGTGCGTGTGTGTGTGGTGCGTGTGTGCGTGTGTGTTGTGCGTGTGGTGCGCGTATGTGTAGTGCGTGTGTGCGTATGTGTGGTGCGCGTATGTGTGGTGCGTGTGTGGTGCGTGTGTGTGTGGTGCGTGTGTGCGTGTGTGTTGTGCGTGTGTGTGGTGCGCGTATGTGTAGTACGTGTGTGCGTATGTGTGGTGCGCGTATGTGTGGTGCGTGTGTGTGTGGTGCGCGTATGTGTGTTGTGCGCGTGCGTACCGCATTGTCTCCATACACGAGACCCCGGGGGTGATGGGGTGTCTGTGCCGAATCATCTTGTACATGGTGATGCCAAGGAAGCCCAGGTTTGTCTGCTCAGACACACCCAGCATGGAAGCACGACTTAGTCTGGCTCTCCCAGTCTCCATCATTTACACTGAACTGTAATAATGCTAAACATACTTCAATCCTGCTCACTAAGTGTAACGTATTAACGATGCATCCTCGGCATCCTGGACATGCTACGGTCTGGCTCTCTGAGTCGCAGTCATTTACACTGAATTGTAAGAATCGGAAATATTTCAGCACTGACTCCTTAAGTATAATCAATCATATTCTTAGTTTTTTCGGTAAAGTCACGTTGAAGAGAAACAACAAAATAACAAAATATATATAAAACAATAAAAAAATTCTCACGACGTTTCGACCATAACTCAAACGGTCATCATCAGGTGTGTCGGTTTGCATAAATTTATTTTTAAAACGGCACATTTATTTATTTATAAAAAAACGTTGGCGTCACGCGCAGCGATTGGCAGTTTGCCCAGGACTAGTCCATCTATTTTTTTTTGAAAAGAGGAGGGGGGAGACGAAATTTTTTATAATGTATGCTGTCTGAAAGCCACTGTAAGCGTGAACAATCAATCAAGAACTGAAATGATTTATCAAATCTTTCCAATGATTGCTAAGATAGAATCCATCTTCTCGGTTGAAATTGTCTCTGTGCTTGTATATGTGGATAGCCTCATGAACGAATCTCTCATGGAAGCCAGATGGCTTACAAAGAACCTCCGTCTTGGAAAAGTCAATGGCATGTGAGCCTACTGAATTAGAACAATGATCTGCTACGGCCGAGGTGTTGGTCCTACCGTGTTTAAGGTCTGCTTTATGTTCACGAATGCGGTCCGAGACATGGCGTTTGGTTTCTCCAATGTAACTACTACCACAGAGGCAACTTAGTTTGTAGACACCAGGGTATTGTATGTCCGGAATCACATCTTTTACAGATGGAACCAGATCACGGATTTTATGTAATGTGTTGAAACGGACCTGGATCTTGTGTTTATTCAAATCCGTGATCTGGTTCCGTCTGTAAAAGATGTGATTCCGGACATACAATACCCTGGTGTCTACAAACTAAGTTGCCTCTGTGGTAGTAGTTACATTGGAGAAACCAAACGCCATGTCTCGGACCGCATTCGTGAACATAAAGCAGACCTTAAACACGGTAGGACCAACACCTCGGCCGTAGCAGATCATTGTTCTAATTCAGTAGGCTCACATGCCATTGACTTTTCCAAGACGGAGGTTCTTTGTAAGCCATCTGGCTTCCATGAGAGATTCGTTCATGAGGCTATCCACATATACAAGCACAGAGACAATTTCAACCGAGAAGATGGATTCTATCTTAGCAATCATTGCAAAGATTTGATAAATCATTTCAGTTCTTGATTGATTGTTCATGCTTACAGTGGCTTTCAGACAGCATACATTATAAAAAATTTCGTCTCCCCCCTCCTCTTTTCAAAAAAAAAATAGATGGACTAGTCCTGGGCAAACTGCCAATCGCTGCGCGTGACGCCAACGGTTTTTTTATAAATAAATAAATGTGCCGTTTTAAAAATAAATTTATGCAAACCGACACACCTGATGATGACCGTTTGAGTTATGGTCGAAACGTCGTGAGAATTTTTTATTGTTTTATATATATTTTATTGTTTCTCTTCAACGTGACTTTACCGAAAAAACTAAGAATATGAATTACTGCAGTCACGAAAGCTTTAAATCAAAATATAATCAATCAATCAAACTCAATTTTACGTTCCAATATCGCCCTCAATAAAGTAGACAGTGCATATTACAGCAACATAAAACAAAAGAAACCCATCGCGACCTAACCGGCTAACACCGATGTTTTAACGAGGGTACTTAAGAAGAAATAACGTCCTGGGAATGTCCAATGAACCATCAGAATCATAACTATACCTTAGTCTGGCCCTTAAAGTCTAGGGCATTTACAATTAGCCCTGATTAACTGAACAGCCAGTGTCCTGAACATGGTGATGCCACGGAAGACCAGGGTTTTCCGTAAAGAAAGAATAATTATTTGCAGATATTTTTTTTTATTGTAAAAGCAGTTTAATCAATCCATCCATGTCACCGCTGTCAGTGAATTTGACTCGCGATCTTAAGGACACAAGCCAAAATCCTGGTTAGAGGTCAACCCATCATTCCTTTGGGATTCTTAAAATGAGCACCACATTGTTGTATGAAGAGGCTGGTCACCTCCATAGAAAGGTGGAATTTACACCACTGGCTCTGGGCAGGAAATGGAGAGCAGGGCGGCACCAGGGCTGACATTTGATTTTCACGTACGATGGAAGGGCACCAGAGATTTGATTTGAATCACCGGATGCCTTTTAGTGCCACGTTTATAGTAGCAGATGCTTCATGTTTTTCAGAGTTTTTGTTTGTCTTTCCCCCAATTTTATGCCAAATGTTCTTTTGGTGTAATGTCATGGGATGAAAAATACATTCGTATATCTCAGGAGCAACATCCTTCGTCTTAGAGAATGATCCACAGAAGTATTACAGAACTACTTTAAAATGTCATTAAAATCCCCCCCTCCAAATGTTATCCCGCTTGCGCTGTCAGTGTCCCGTCATGAAATGAACAATCCAAACTCCAGCAGATCAGTGTAACCCTTGGTGTTAAAGATTAGCCAATGGAAGCAGATATCAAAGAACAACTTCTGAGATCCCTTCAGCTGACTGCATGATCCACACTGCAGAGGGCAGTGCTTTCCCACCTGCCTTGCTACAGAAAGTAATGTCCGTCACATGACAGTCAAACTATTATTTGTAACTCTCGGTGCTGGACTTTAGGAAATTTTAAGTGGAGAATCAAGTTTAATATTTTGTTGTTGTTCAGTGATTGGTGACCGAACCGAGATCAGCAACTTGGTGCACATGAGAATCCAGTTTAACCATGTGTGACTGAAACCCGGATTCGAACCCAGAATCTCAGCAGTGCCAGCTCAGTGCTCTGACCTCCGAGAAACCCGTCCACCTCTCAGCGTTTAATATTTCTCAAAGTTGCATTTAAATATACATTTTTATTACTAAACCTCACGAATCATCAAACGAAACGAAATTAAATTGAGCATTTTTCATGATAGACATCTCAAAGTATTTCACAATCTCTACAGTGCATTACACTGTGAAAAATTAAATACGTGGAAAGATCAAAGATTAGACAAAACTTTTAAACGACATCATTTATTTTTAAGAACTCAGAGTCCTCGGCTGGCAAAGGGACAGAGTTCCACAGATGACGGATTAAAACAGAGAGCCCTGGCTCGCAGGGAAGCAGCCTTCCCATCGTTAACTGGACCTGTAATGGTCCATGCCCTGCTGTGATTCAACAAAGTCTCGGTATTGAGAGTCTTGATGCGATTTAAGAATTAATAATTTTTTTCAATCTTGATTTGAAGCTTTCGTGACTGCAGGAATCCATACTCTTTGGTTCTTTCGGTAAAGTCACGTAGGTATAAAATAAAATAAATCACGACGTTTCGGGCGCAACACAAGCATCCATCATCAGGTGGGAAAGTGATGTTCTGCTGTTGAGGCAGACTGTTTAAAAACACAACACACACAGCAGCAGACCATGGCTTCCCCACCTGATGATGGACTCTTGTGTCACGCCCGAAACGTTGTGATTTATTTTATTTTATACCTACGTGACTTTACCGAAAGATCCAAAGAGTAATAATTTTTTTTTGTCTTATTTTATCCGTATTTAAAGTTTGCACTGTTCGTCCTGTGAGTTGTATCGGTACCACGCATCTAGTTTTGTGTTGTCAGTCTCGTTCGTTGTCTAATTTATATCGTCTGTCTTGTTTATGCTCTCTCATTTGTCTTATTCGTATGTCTGTTCGTACTGTGCCCCATTTGTACCGCTGCATGTCTAATTTTCACGGTCTCATTTGTATTGGTTGTCTCCACTGCGGTTCTCTTTTGTTCTGTGTCTTTATAGTTTTATGTTGTCTTGATTGTTCTGTTTCATTTATATCTGTCCATCTCATATGTTGTTTTTGTGCATTCATCCATTGATTCAAATTAATTATCATCTTCACAACACACACAATGAATCGGATGTGTAAGAATGTGTTTGATGAATCGTATATATGTTGCATATAAACGGTTCACGTGACCCTTGCAGACACTAGAGGCACTACATTTACAATATTAGTTTGCTTTGTGTTTAGTTCGTTGCCCTTCCCCGGCACCTCCGATTAGCATGGTTGGCTACGTACGGTGCGAAAGAAGTTCAACGTACATACATAAAAAATAGAATCAAATGTTGAATAGAGTCACAAACCTGATTCGTGACAAATCATCAAGTTGCAAGGAGGACGAATAAATACAGACGAAACAGTCATTCTCTATGCCCTACCTGGTAGTCTGCAGTGGGCAATGGCTCACTGATGATCCCTAATGACCCCGAGGACCCACGTGACTGTGGTCATGGGAGTGAAGGTCACGAGTTAAAATCCTAGTTCGAGGGTCAACTCATAAATCATCCATGTGGGGTTAATAAAATCATCACAACTTTGTGGTAATTCAACGGTAGTTAAGAGGGTTATTGGCAAGGGGTGGCCGGGTGGGTCATAGGCCAAAGCTTTCAGCTGACATTACTGAGATCCTGGCTTCGAATCCAAGCGTAGTGAGTTGATAGTCTCAACCCGGGTTGCCAACGACTACACAAAAGAACTGATTACATGAAAATTTGGCTTTGCACCTAATATTGCTAATTTCCAGCTCTGAGAATTAAAAATATCGGATTGACTCTCGTGCGATGAACATTATGTTCAGTGGCAGAGTGGGTGGGAAATTGCTGCCCGCTACTCACTGAAAGGGACTTCTGAAGCAGCTCTGTAATATCTACATTCCTTGCACCGTTCTCGAACACGAAGGGTTGCACTGATCTATGGTAGATCCAAATGCATTATTGATCTCATGATACCGACAGCACAATTGTAATAAAATTAGGGTAAAGACAATTATACAACTTGAGGTGTGCTTATGGAGAGACTTGCTGCCGTGTGAATGTGTAATATCCATCCATTGGTCTCCATGGTGAAGAGAAGCCGACCGGGTTTTGTGAGCGAGGAAGGCCGTGCGTGACGCGGCCCTGCCGACTCACCGTGATCACGCACAGCACGGGGCCCGCAAAACTCCAGTAGATGCTCTTATCCAGCCAGCAGCTACAACACAAAACAAAACAACAAAGATCCCCTGTATAGCCTGAACAGATTATAGGGACAAGCGCTGCTAGCGAGGACCTATGAAGGCTGGAACGACACACGAGGGGGTGGGTGGCCAGCACCACGCCCGGCCGCCTTTGTCTCCCCAGTCGCGATGTTTACCACACACTGTATCAGGTACACATTTCAGGCTGAGTTGACCTAGGGAAAGAGGCCTAGGACTGGTTCAGATAATCGTCACCGGTGTTGGCCGTGAGCGGGAATCAAACTTGCGTCCCTGGGTTCGCAGCGCTGCGCGCTAACCGCTACACGACCGCTCCCCAAACACACGACACACACAGCATTACACAGACAACACACCACACCACAGAATTACACAGACAACACACCACACACACAGAATTACACAGACAACACACACAGCATTACACATACAACTGTCACACAAAACACACACAGCATTACACATACAACTGTCACACAAAACACACACAGCGTTACACATACAACTGTCACACAAAACACACAGCGTTACACATACAACTGTCACACAAAACACACACAGCATTACACAGACAATACACACAGCATTACACAGACACATACACACCGCAGGCACGTGAACACTGGGCCATGTGGCTCAGCATTAGAGCGAGCATCGCCTCGACGTCAGAAGGTTGTGAGTTCAAATCCTGGTTGGGGGTTGACTCAGCCCATTAACATTCTTTAATCTAGATTAGGAAATTTCCATTGAACCATAAAAATCATAACTATAGCTCAGTCTGGCCTGTTGAGTGTGGGGCGCTTCCAGTGATTCCTGCCGGAGTGAAGAGCAAGCGTGTTCCTGACCCTATCAGCCGAAGGGTTACACTGCTCTGTGGCTCTCCATTGGCCACGTTCTGTTCACGTGATACAACCCTTACTAGTTGGCTGTGTCGGGTGGTAGCGGGCTTTAACGACACATTTATATATTTACGCGATCTAACCCAAAAAAACCTCCATCATGGAATTATGAAAGCTGTTTCATGAATCTAGTTACCGCCATCACCTGTGCACTTGACTCACAATCTGATTGACAAGTTCAAATCCCATTCATAAGTTGACCCATCATCATCATAAATTCTCTGGGGTGTACAAAATAAGTATAATTTCGTGGGAAGGTCAATAGTGGTTTTCCTTTGGGCTTACCGCCACCATTGGAATGTGAAATTTCCACCAATCAATGCTTATTAAGCAGGAAATAACCTTCATATCACATCCATTACGATCATGACACAACCATTACGAGAATGAGATGGCCGTTATGAACATGACACAGCAATTGTTAACCCCCAATAGATAGGCACCCATCCTCAGAACTCAGGACCTGGGGATGGGTGCCTAACGGCACTCACAAGTTGAATTAGACGCCAATCGAATGACAGTAAAAGCTTCCACTAATAACAACGACAACTGCAATCGCATTAAAGACAAAGTGAAGAACTACGAGACGGCCATTGTGAACCCGATGGGGGCGACGTGTGCAAGGCCTCACTATGTGTCGGTTCCATGAGAGCCGGGGGCGATGGCCGATGTGAGGATCACGATGACCAATGGCACGCCGTAGCCGACAGCGTAGAGTGAGCGCACGTGCAGGTCACGTGACTGGAACACCTGTACGGGAGACGTGGGGGGTGGGGGCGATTGCAATGGGGGGGGGGGGGGGGGTGCTGAGACTCGTGGAAATAGACGTAGACTCGAGTCCTAAGGTTTAGTGATAAAACTCAACACTCACTGAGCCAGACTAAGGCATGTATATGATTATTTTGGTTAAGTTGTAATGAATTAGACTTAGCGAGCCGGACTAAACCATGTTTATTATTATTTTGGTTAAGTTGTAATGAATCAGACTTAGCGAGCCAGAATAAGGCATGTTTATGATTACTTTGGTTAAATTGTAATGAATTAGACTTAGCGAGCCAGACTAAGGCATGTTTATGATTATTTTGGTTAAGTTGTAATGAATTAGACTTAGCGAGCCAGACTAAGGCATGTTTATGATTATTTTGGTTAAGTTGTAATGAATTAGACTTAGCGAGCCAGACTAAGGCATGTTTATGATTATTTTGGTTAAGTTGTAATGAATTAGACTTAGCGAGCCACACTAAGGCATGTTTATGATTATTTTGGTTAAATTGTAATGAATTAGACTTAGCGAGCCAGACTAAGGCATGTTTATGATTATTTTGGTTAAGTTGTAATGAATTAGACTTAGCGAGCCAGACTAAGGCATGTTTATGATTATTTTGGTTAAGTTGTAATGAATTAGACTTAGCGATCCACACTAAGGCATGTTTATGATTATTTTGGTTAAGTTGTAATGAATTAGACTTAGCGTGCCAGACTAAGGAATATTTATGAGTATATGGGTTCCATTTTTATTAATCATTAGACTCAGTGTGCCAGACTCATGCATATTTATGATTCTTAAGAGGCCAGTGATTACGACTGAGTTTCAGAGAACCAGACTAATGTACTACTATGACTTAAAAGTTAACTGTTATTTTTTAAAACCCACAGAGCCAGAACAAGGCACTTGTAAGATTCGTAGGGTTTCCCGTCAAGGCCCGAGGCTCCCAGACGAAGATAATGTTATGTTTGGGCTGTAGTGTGAGCGCCCGAGGCTCATAGAGGCAGACTAAGGCACCTGCACGACCATGAAGTAGAGGCAGACGCCCTCGAGGCTCATCCAGGTGAACGCGGCAAGGAAGAAGTAGTGAAGAAAGTAGGCGACCACTTTACACAGCACCTGCACGCACACACGGGCGGTTGGCGAGCGCCTGTTAAAGCCGGAAAAGGCATGTGTGGTCTGCGAGAGTGTGTTGTAGATGTAGTTGTTGAGTTTGTTTTCCTTCTCACGCACCTGCGATTAGCACGGTTGGCTACGTATGGTGCAAAAGAAGTTCAACATACATACATACATAGATAACGGCACTTGCTCCAACAGTCTGTTAAAGGCTATATGGGGAATCTTTGTCTTTGTGCATATGTGGGAAGCAGTAATGCAGCGGTTAGCACGTTGTGCTATGAACCCGGTGACCTGAGTTCGATTCCCACTCACGGCCAATACTAGTGAAGATTATCTGAACCAGTCCTGGGCCTTGCCTAGGTTCATTCCTCAAATGAGTACCTGGTGCGGTGTGTTAACATCGCCGAGACAAAGGCGACTGGGCATGGTGCTGGCCACCCACCCCTTCATATGCCATGCCGGCCTTCTTCAGTGATCACTAACAGAACTTGCCCGAACAGTCTGTTAAGGCTATTCAGGGGACCTTTGTCTTTGTTTAGTTTGTTGTCCTTTCCCCACACCTCCAATTATCACGGTTGGTTACAAACGGTGTGAAAGAAGTTCAACATACACAACTGCACTTGGCCAAACAGTCAGTTAAAGGCTATATGGGGACCTTTGTCTTTGTATATATATCTGTGTGTGTATGTGAGTGTGTGCACACACAGTGTATGCTGTCTGATGCACGCCCAGCAGGAAGATGAACTCGGCGATGAAGAGCGTCGCGCACAGATTGGCGTGCACAGAGTTGCGGGCTCCATGCAACGCACGGCTCAGCGTGAACGTGGCCACGCTCAGCGCCAGGCACACCAGCGACACGGAGAGTGCGACACGCGTCAACACGGAGAGGATCGACGCATCGTGCTCCGATACCTGGGCACACACACATTGACACACACATTCACACACACACATTAATACACACATATTCACACACATTAATACACACACATTAATACACACACATTCACACACACATTCACACACGCACATTCACACACACACATTCACACACACACATTAATACACACATTCACACACACACATTCACACACACACATTAATACACACACATTCACACACGCACATTCACACACACACACATTCACACACACACATTAATACACACATTCACACACGCACATTCACACACACACATTAATACACACACATTCACACACGCACATTCACACACGCACATTCACACATGCACATTCACACACGCACATTCAGACACACACATTAATACACACATTCACACACATTCACACACACACATTCACACACGCACATTCACACACGCACATTCACACACGCACATTAACACACGCACATTCACACACGCACATTCACACACACATTCACACACGCACATTCACACACGCACATTCACACACACACATTAACACACACACACACATATTCACACACGCACATTCACACACGCACATTCACACACACACATTCACACACACATTAATACACACACACATTCACACACGCACATTCACACACGCACATTCACACACGCACATTCACACACACATTAGCACACACATTCACACACGCACATTCACACACACACATTCACACACACATTAACACACGCACATTCACACACGCACATTCACACACACACATTCACACACGCACATTCACACACACACATTCACACACGCGCGCGCGCATGCTCACATATACACATATGCAGGGGCACTCACACAGACACACACAGATCCCCCGTATCGCCTTTAACAGACTCTTGGGGCAGGTACTGTGAGCACATATGAAGGCTCGCATGGTACATGAGGAAGCACGTGGCCAGCAACCACGCCCACCTGCCTTTGTCTCACCAGTGTTGATGTTTACACATGGCATCATTTTAATTTTATTTCGACCCACACACACAGTGGCACACAACAACAATAACAACAACAACGCTATTCCCCACTAAGTGGTGGCGATGTAATCACGGTGCTTGTGCCAGGCTAGGTGCACTTTCAGGCCACGGGAAGTGTCGTCCCCCCCCCCCCCCACTGTGTGTCTCCCCCCGTGTGTCCATGTATCTCACTGGGCGGTGAGCGAGGAAGATGGTGAAGTGGTTGCATGTCCCCCCGTGTGTCCCCCCGTGTGTCCCCCCGTGTGTCCCCGTGTGTCCCCGTGTGTCCCCCGTGTGTCCCCGTGTGTCCCCGTGTGTCCCCCCGTGTGTCCCCCGTGTGTCCCCCCGTGTGTCCCCCGTGTATCCCCCTGTGTGTCCCCGTGTGTCCCCCCGTGTGTCCCCCCGTGTGTCCCCGTGTGTCCCCCCGTGTGTCCCCCCGTGTGTCTCCCATGTGTCCCCGTGTGTCCCCCGGTGTGTCCCCGTGTGTCCCCCCGTGTGTCCCCCGTGTGTCCCCCCGTGTGTCCCCGTGTGTCCCCCCGTGTGTCCCCCGTGTGTCCCCCCGTGTGTCCCCCGTGTGTCCCCGTGTGTCCCCCCGTGTGTCCCCCGTGTGTCCCCCCGTGTGTCCCCCGTGTGTCCCCCGTGTGTCCCCCTGTGTGTCCCCGTGTGTCCCCCCGTGTGTCCCCCCGTGTGTCCCCGTGTGTCTCCCGTGTGTCCCCGTGTGTCCCCCGTGTGTCCCCCTGTGTGTCCCCGTGTGTCCCCCCGTGTGTCCCCCCGTGTGTCCCCGTGTGTCCCCGTGTGTCCCCCCGTGTGTCCCCCCGTGTGTCCCCGTGTGTCCCCGTGTGTCCCCGTGTGTCTCCCCGTGTGTCCCCGTGTGTCCCCTTGTGTCCCCCCTTGTGTCCCCCTTGTGTCCCCCGTGTGTCCCCCTGTGTGTCCCCCGTGTGTCCCCCCGTGTGTCCCCGTGTGTCCCCCCGTGTGTCCCCTCGTGTGTCTCCCGTGTGTCCCCCGTGTGTCCCCCCGTGTGCCCCCCCGTGTGTCCCCCCCCCATGTCCCCCCCCTCGTGTCCCCCCCCCGTGTGTCCCCCCGTGTGTCTCCAGTGTGTCCTCCGTGCGTCTCCCCCCCCGTCTCCCCCCCCCCCCGTGTGTCCCCGCATCTCACCGGGCGGTGAGCGAGGAGGATGGCGAAGTGGGTGAGGTGGGAGCAGGAGCAGTGGGCGTGGCTGTGGTTGAGGAACGCGACCTCACAGCCGAGCGTGCTCCACGTGCTCGCATGCTCCACCCAGAAGCCACACTGCACAAGCCCGTTCTCCTTTAGAGAACCACACACACACAGCATGTGCACATGACACGTATCCTTTATAGAAACACACATCTATAGAAAGTGACACGTCTCCTGTATATCAACATGCGTGTAACTCAAAGACAAAGATCCCCCATATAACCTTTATAGAGTTTTGGGGCAAGTGCTGTTAGCGAGCACCTATGAAGGCCGGAACGGCACACGAAAGGGGTGGGGTGACCAGCACCGCGCCCGGCCGCCTTTGTCTCCCGACTGGCGATGTTTACACACCGCACCAGGTACTCATTTGAAGCTGAGTCGACCTAGGGGAGGCCCAGGACCGGTTCATGAGCGGGAATCTAAACGCGAGTCGCTGGGTTCGTAGCGCAGCACGCTAACCGCTGCGCCACCGCTCCCCCGCATACACGGACATGTGTCGGCACGCACGTCCAGTGCCACGCAGAACCACTCACAGCCACACGGGGCCGCTGGAGTGGTCTTGAAACAAAGCAGATCGCTGTGATACATTTCCTGGTGAGAGAAGACGCGGGGTAATCACGGAGCCGTGTAGTGGGGGACACCTGCACGCGAAGCGGGTCGAGTAATGCGATGAGTGGGGAGTTTCGGCACGTTCAAACCCCAGGCACGGCTACCACGAGTCGTCAAGTGATATTTGAACTGGTTCTGGGCCTCCCGTAGGTCGACTCGACATCACGAGTACGTAGAGTAGTAGCTGGTGCTAAAAACATCCACACTGCTGGCCGCATCAGCCTTCATAAGGTGCCATGCTCATCGCCTTCACCCACCGGCACAGACCAGCACGGTTGTGCATGGTTGTCAAATAACCCTCCCTCGCCTGCATCAGCTCGTTGTCCAGCAGTGCATTGGCAAAATGGCTATGATAATTGTTTTTTTTACCCTTTTATCTGGCAACAAAACTGACACCTTTTTTTACAAGGAGTCATGCTTACATTGACCACAAACATGACTCCTTGTAAAAAAAGGTGTTAGTTTTGTTGCCAGATAAAAGGGTAAAAAAACAATTATCATATTTTGTTACTGGCAAATGAGGTTTCCAATGGTGTAAATGCTTACCCCGAGCTCTCATACTCTGATGGTGCATTGCCTTTGAGTTGTGCGCCTTTTGGCGTCTTCTGGTCCAACACCATGTGAGACGAGGCTCTAAAGAAAGCTGTCTCGGGTGTGGACCAATCAATTTCAAGGACAGTGCCACATACATTATCAGAGTTGTTGTTTTTTGTTTGCGTTCCGACCGCAGGTATTGTAGTCAATGTAAACATGACTCCTTGTAAAAAAGGTGTCAGTTTTGTTGCCAGATAAAAGGGTAAAAAAACAATTATCATATTTTGTTACTGGCAAATGAGGTTTCCAATGGTGTAAAATGGCTATGCTTGTGCACATGTACGTTGAATTTCTTTGCAGCCAACTGTGCTAATCGAAGGTGCGGGGGAAGGACAACAAAACTAAACACAAAAAGCAATTCCAAAGGAACGAGTATTACGTTTCCATTTACAAGTGCATAGCTCTGGTGGCTTCCTAATATCTGGAGGAAGAGCGTTCCAGAAGACCGCAGAAGCGCACCTGAAAGCGCCACGCGATGCGCTGACCGCAGTCTTTGTTTGATGACTAACCGTACACACGCGCGCGTGCGTCTTTGAAGCGACATCGCGTGAGCCTCACCGGATTCTCCAAGAGCCTCAGGCTGAAGGTCACGTTGCCCGTGAGATGCACGTGGCGCGCAGCGCTCGGCAGCAGCGTGGCCGACAACACCGCCGAGATGATGCGCAGGGGGCCGCGAGGCGAGGAGTCGTGGGCGCCCACGGCGGGGACGAGGGGCAGGGGGGGCAGGTGGGAGTGCACGTGCGGGTTGTAGCCAAACGAGACCGCCGCCGCGCCTGTAACGGCAGACACGAACATAAAGGTCCCCCGTATCGCCTTAACAGACCGCAGGGGCAAGTGCTGTGAGCTAGCACCCATTAAGCACCATGACCTTTGACTGATGTTTACACACCGCACTAGGCACTTTATTTGAGTATGGGTCGACCTAGATAATGGCAGACACACACAGAGATACATCATCATCAGCCGTGGTCTTTCCACTGCTGGATAAAGGCCACTACAATCCTGCGCGATGCAACAGTCCTGCAAATGAATTGATTTCATCGCTCCATCAGCTCGGTGGATATCCTCAAGACGCGTTCTATTCCTTAACAGCCACTCCGTTATTATTCTTGACTATTGGCCATCATCCCTTCAAGCGACAAACTTACAAAAATATCACCAACACAAAACAAATATACAAAGATTTCCCATGTACAATATGTTCACTGTTGGGGAAAGTGCTGTTAGTGAGCACATATTCAGTCAGTTTATTTCGAGTAAGGCCCATCGTGATAATAATTAATTTTGTCAATGGAGCACAAGGGTCAGCTGGAGATATGAGCAAGATGATTCTGCAAGGAAACAGAAGGGAAGAGGGAAAGTGGAAGGTAACGTAATCGGTCGGTCGGACAACGTGAGCAGTTTGATGGACTCTCAATGAGGGACGCTCGAGATAATGAAAGATGGAAAGCATCTGACATGTGCATTTATATTGAGCATAGTGCCACCGTGAAGTGAGACCAGCCCGGAAAATTCTGTATGTAGCCATAACTCGCGGCCAACTCAAGACCGCAAAAAAAAAACCACACTGCCGGGACGTCACGGCAATGAGTCGCGTCTCATGGCATCAAGAAGACAGAGACGCAGTTACACACGCGCGGAACACACAGAGTCAAATTGCCTCACTGCTCAAAGGAGTTTTTTAGGCCACATGCCTATGACAGAGTTGGTCCCTCCATAAGATAACTACTCATTGTTATTGACCCTTGATGGATGATAGGCCGAGTCAGCAGCTGAACTCACGACCTACAGACGGAACAAGGCGGAGTAAGTGAAATAACGTCACCGAGTGTCGGTGTGCTTATAAAAATATACCAAAAACAAACACCAGTTAACTGTCACAAAAAAAACAACCATTAAAATTTGCAAATAAAGATTTACAATTCATTTCAGAATAAATTAAACAAAACTACTTCCAAACACAATAAACACATCGAATGGAAATCGAGCGGAGAAAGTTCGTCATTTTTCTCTGCGCTCGGCAAAACACCATCGCTCTCCTCCAGCACATTTAATATTTACGGTTCGGGGTCATGTTGTTGCCATCCATTTCCCTTTGTGTTCCTCTTTTTTCTATCTCAACAGTTTTGCTCATAGAAGTGTGATTTGCGGTGCACGTCGTGAGCTTGAGAATCATTCATCATATTCTTTGGGTCTTTCGGTAAAGTCACGAAGATAGGTTCAAAGAAAATAACAAAAAACTATGACGTTTCAGCAGCCATGATCGATTCACTGCTTTCCCAATCAATAATCCATCCCGTCCGTCCTAGCGTATGAGCCGATTAAAATTGAAAAAAAAATAACACGTGGCTTGGAGAACATAACGCATATTTCATGACAAAATTGCAAAGGTTAAGCAAAGTAAGTGGGCTTGGCCAGAACTCATCACTAGAAGGGATGATGGCCACCGGTGGTTGAGATTCAAGTTGGAGTGGCAGCCAAAGAAGGGAACCAACCGGGGGCTGAGGTGGTCCGTGAAAGGGGGAGAGGTGGTGGGGTCAGGGGTGCGCAGGACCAAAGTCTCTGGGGAGACTCGTTAAACAGGAAGCCATTAGCGAGCTCTAATTGAGTAATTGGGACCTCATTATCTCCATGCCAAGCGCTCCATTCAGGAAGTCAATGGAGCAAAAAGCTTTGTTTGGCAAGCTACGTACGTTTTAGGGCTGAGTGAACCTAGTGGAGGCCTGGGTCAGGTTCCCATGCTGATGAGCACGTGGATCGTGATGCGCGTGACGCGCCAGAGCCGAACCCGGGTGGCTTGGGAGTGCAAATATAAAAATTTCATTGCGGTGAAATTTTAACAAGCGAATCGATTAAAAAGCGGTCTCGCACTCGGCACGCAGCGCACGGCATCGAATTTGCGCGCGAGGAGCGACTAGCTCACGCTGCGATTCTGGACGCGTGGAACCCGCCGCTGTGCGTGCGTGTGTGAGCACTCCTCTCGCTGCGGGTATGGAATCGTCGGACTTGTGTGGACTCGTGGATCGACGCGGCGGACGTCGTGTGCTTGGTGTGTTTCAGCCACGCACGCGCTCCCTGCCCGCCGTCACGTAGCCTCGCCCCCCGTGGGGTTTCAGATTAAATCCGGGACCACACACACACCGAGGGAAACCACGGAGATGGGCGGGGGGTGTGAGAGGAGGGGTTGGTCATTATGAAAACTTTAACTGCGTGTCTCTGACACGGCCATAATGAATCCTTCTCATTTTGAGTTGCCTATATGGCTATTGTGAAACCCTCTCATTGTCTCTGATATGCCCATTATGAACTACTCTTTCACAGTGTCTCTGACCCAACCATTATGAATGCGTCTCACCAGGCGTGAGTTCCGTGTTGTTGACGCTCAGGTAGATTCCAGCTTCGACTCCGCTCGAGACGAAATGAAGATTGGAAACTCCAGGGTGCAAAGACATCACCTCCAGCTCTAAAGAAAACAATACAAATAACAATAAACAAATTAAATAACAATTGTTAATAACAAACTACATCCCCATATCGCAACACAGATAACAACAACAATTAAGCAGCTATAACACAACAACAGCATCTTTAAAATTACATATTATCACCATTCATGATCAATGCACAGCTGGATGAAGATGTCTTGAAGCCATTGCTGACACAACAAGACTTACAGCCACTTGCCAGCCCACTTCCTTGTGTTGTGTTGAAGCTTGAGAGTTTAATGGCCTTTCTATACTTGCGGTTGTTGCTTGAGACCCAAAGGATATAAGGAAAGTTCAGAATGCTTCGTCTTTTTTTTAGAAACACTCAGGGCTCAGAGAGCCAGACCAAGGCATGTTTATGATTCTCAGAGGAGACTGAATTAAACCTACAATAATGTACACGTTGACATCTGAGATGGTCCAGGATGGTTCGTAGTAACATCGTCATCAGTGAGTTTTCACCGTGTCAGTGTGTACTAAACTCGCACACAAATTCTCTCCACTTCCTTTCTACCCGCTGCTAAACAATCGAGATGTCCTTGAACGATCACTCTGACAGAACCCCTCCCGCCCCCCATCTGACTTGAGGTCTTCCCCTGGGTGCAACTCTGATTGTCTCAGTAAACCCAGCTGCCCTACCTTCTACACCCTGGAAATGTGTCTGACCAATCGCAAAAGCTCCTCTTCCCAGTTACATCTGCAATGATCTGGCTAAGTAGGCACGGTGAACATGAAATTAATGACTCTACAACGCTTCACAAGACTTTCACGTTGCTCACCTTTATCCTGGCTTGAAATTCACAGCGTGTACTGTACATGTGTTTAAGGGCCAGAAGCTTATTTATTAGTTGCCCTACGAAAGTATGGCTCTCTGACCCATACGGTAACATGGACAAAACTCGTTTCTATCTTCTCCTTTAAAGTTAATGGCAGAAAATGATTAGGACATTAGGATTATTGTTTTCCTAAGAACCAATATGAACAAGACAGTAAACATGAGACAAATATTAATGATTCTTAAATTCAATTGCAAGCTCTAAACCGTGACAATTCATCATCAACAACAACAAAACCAATGAGACAGGAGAAGCATTACGGGGCGATGGAACATAAACTCCTGAAGACCTTCCCGTCATCCCTCACCATTCCCCTCAGCCTGGCCTCGCATGACCTGCCCTGGGCGTTTCAGGAGAGTGGCGGCCACGCTGATGGCCTGGTCGATTTTGGCGAGGCCACGGGACAGGATGTGGACGGCTTCGGCGGGGGGCAGCTCTGCCCAGTCCCGCGGGGGCTCACGGGGCAGCAGGGACGCCGCCAAGGACGCTGCCCACTGTGGACACGGGGGACACACGGGGGACACACGGGGGACACACGGGGGACACACGGGGGACGCACGGGGACGTGGAGAGACATGGAAAGAATAGGATGATAGGGGAGTGAGATAGGCAATGAAAAGCTGAGTGAGTGACAATGTGAGAGAGAGATGGAGTGAGCAATAGATGGGGTGAGCAATATGTGGTGTGAGAGTGATGGCGTGGGCGAGAGGCGGGAAGAGTGAGCGACGGGGGGCGAGCAACATACGAGGTGAGCAAGAGGCGAGGTGAATGACGAGGTGAGCGAGCGACGAGGTGAGCGAGCGACGAGGCAAGCGAGCGACGAGGAGAGCGAGCGACGAGGCGAGCGAGCAGCGAGGCGCGCGGGCGACGAGGTGAGAGTCAAGTTGAGCTAGAGTGACGATTAGCGAGATACAAGGTGAGCGACGAGGCGAGCGAGCGGCGAGGCGAGCGAGCGACGAGGTGAGAGTCAAGTTGAGCTAGAGTGACGATTAGCGAGAGACAAGGTGAGCGACGAGGTGAGCGAGCGACGAGGCAAGCGAGCGGCGAGGTGAGAGTCAAGTTGAGCTAGAGTGACGATTAGCGAGAGACAAGGTGAGCGACGAGGTGAGCGAGGCAAGCGAGCGGCGAGGTGAGAGTCAAGTTGAGCTAGAGTGACAATTAGCGAGAGACAAGGTGAGTGACGAGGTGAGCGAGCGACGAGGCGAGCGAGCGGCGAGGCGAGGGGGCCATGCGGCGAGTGCCGTCATGGACAGCGTGGCCGGGCGAGCGAGTGGCACCTCCATGGTCGCGTCGTCGCCGTGTCCCATTAAGTCATCGGCCTCGGTCATGGCTCCACAGATCTCGCTCGTCCAGCGCTGCCGCGTGGGCCTCGCGGGACCCTGGAGAAGAACAGGGGACGAGAGGTCCTTGGCTGCCACTCTGACATTATTATCGACCATCGGACAATCGGCACTGCTCGTAACATCTCCTTAAATTTCTTTACATTAACAGGCTAAATGTCTCACTAAACACAGCCACCGTTGCGGTGGTTCTCTTACATTGGCATGCTAATCTCTCACAATACAATGGCCAGCTCCACAGCTCTGTTTTCCTCGATGTGGCGGTGGCACGTAAACGGAACATGGTCAATTCGTCACTAGAACAGCAGCACACCGCTGTGTTGGAGAGCCAAGCCACAACATTTACAATCTGAGTATGACGTTTCCCCAGTAATCACAACTAGTTTCATCAGAAGAGAGACAGATTTGTGGAGAAGTCTTATAGAGAGGCGTTGATGTGGTGACCACACTTCTGCGCTCTTGCGCAAGATGGGGGGGGGGATTACTGAGTCAACGTACATTACGTATGCGCAATATGCAAGCCATTTGATCTTGTCCTTCCTGTCTATATAAATGGCTTTCATATAATACGAAATGCTTTTGTAATTTAGCCATTTGGTTTGCAAAAGTCTGTATAAGCAAATCCCTTTCGTCTATAAAGGTTGTAAACAAAGGTCATTGTTAATCGTGTCTTCTCCAGAATCCATCCATTTACCCAACAATGATTGTTTTTGTAACAAGGCAGTGTTAACGGTGAAGGCGGTGGGTGAGGTTTCTTGATTCGGATGTGTTTTTGTTTGTAAGTGGTTTCAATAACTGGCAGTACAGCAAGCGTGGTTACTGAACAGGACATCTCTGTGTGGTGGAGTGTTTTTTTCCACTTGTGTTTTGTGCTTTTTTGTTTAAATGTGGTCACTATTTTTTACCGATTGGCCGATTGGTCTTTCAGACTTAAGTTAACCGATAGGATTTGTTTAAACTCGTAAACTCTGGATCGGTTGTACCCATTATGGGTTCATAAGCAAAGCCATGCACGCTAAAACAAATACTACTGATTTCACGGATATAATTGGTAAGCCCTCCACACCATGGGCTATGAGTTCATTAACCAAGAACCACGGTATTGTTATTCGTTTAAACATTGTAAAACCAAGGTTGTCCAGGGACTAAAATTATTACATTTATTATTTAAATTGAAACCTGATTTCTGATGCTTACAAAAACATCAAATTGTTCGTGGGAGAATCTATTATCTAGTGTTTATGCAGATTATATGCAAATTGTATGAAAATTATATGCGAATGTTGCGTTATATTTTCGCGTATGGCAATGTTCTCAGGAGTTAAATGCCAATGTTGAGGTCTGCCAGCCACGATAGGGCTTCATTACAGAGTTCGTGTAGTGTGGTTGTTCCTCCACTATTGAAGAGGAATGCAGATCACGGAAGGGGTAAACGGGACTTGAGTCGGCAAGAAAACGTGTAAACTCCCTTGTGGTTTGTGCGATGTCTCGGCGGATATTTGGTGGCAGAACGTTCGGTAGAACAACAGTTGGGCCCAGGGGATTGGTGTCGGTCTCAGTGTTCCCGCTTTAAGATGGGCATCGCTTTAGTCAATGGTGCATCGACGAGCAGTGTTGTGTGTGTCACGTTTTATTTTGTCTTACGCAGAAAACACGACTTGACAAACGAGGTACCGTAAAGACAATGCAAACGGGACGGTACATATGGCACGTGCACAAACGAGGAAATGGAAATTAATGCCGGGATTTAATCTGAAATGAGACAGCCGGTACGAACGAGGGAGACAGCACAAACTAGACACTACAAACTAGACACCACGAATTAGACACTACAAACTAGACACCACAAACTAGACACCACAAATTAAACACTACAAACTAGACACCACAAACTAGACACTACAAACTAGACACCACAAACTAGACACTACAAACTAGACACCACAAATTAGACACTACAAACTAGACACCACAAATTAGACACTACAAACTAGACACCACAAACTAGACACTACAAACTAGACACCACAAACTAGACACTACAAACTAGACACCACAAATTAGACACTACAAACTAGACACCACAAACTAGACACTACAAACTAGACACCACAAACTAGACACTACAAACTAGACACCACAAATTAGACACTACAAACTAGACACCACAAATTAGACACTACAAACTAGACAGTACAAACTAGACACTACAAACTAGACACCACAAATTAGACACTACAAACTAGGCACCACAAGTTAGACACTACAAACTAGACAGTACAAACTAGACATCACAAATTAGACACCACAAACTAGACAGTACAAATTAGACACTACAAACTAGGCACCACAAATTAGACACTACAAACTAGGCACCACAAATTAGACACTACAAACTAGACACCACAAATTAGACACTACGAACTAGACACAACAAATTAGACACTACAAACTAGACACTACAAACTAGACACCACAAATTAGACACTACAAACTAGACAGTACAAACTAGACAGTACAAACTAGAGAGTACAAACTAGACACTATAATCGAGGCAATGCAAACAAGACAGAAAGTACAAATGAAAGAGAAATGTATCTTTAATTTCTACAAATCTATTTACTATTAAACTATTTTTTATTTTACCAGGTAAAGCCCACTGAGCTATACTGTATAGCTCTTTTTCATAAGTGACCTGGTCACAAATTATTGCTCAGCGAAGTAGCTTACATAGTGAAATGTATAGCAGCGAAATACTCATGTTTCTAAATGTGCAGGGAAAAACTGGAGGACCCGGAGAAAAATCAATGCTACTGTGAGGAAAAAGACACAGCAAACTCCAAATATACAGCAGGCGTCAGAGTCGGGATTGAACCCACGACCTCCTGTATAGCAGGCGAGGGAGATAACATCTCCTAGCCACCACAGCGGCGCCCCAAATCGTGACTATTGCCGGAGGGAGGAGGAGAGTGAATCGTTACCCTACAGCTAATTTGTTCCCCTGGGGGATATGGAGGATTTTAATTTTACCAAGACAAAAGTTGACCTTCAGAACCCCTCCCTTTCCCCCCCCGCTGTTTGTGATTAAATCTACACATCCGCCACGTGCAGCTGTGGTCAGATAACAGAAGGTTGGAAGTTCAATTTCCAGTTTGGGTCAACTCGGGATTATTAGAATTATCATCATCTCCATTTTGTGTGGGACGTCAGTGGCACTTTCCATGTGTAAGTAGACATTGGTCCCTGTCTAGGGAATGTGGAGTTTATACAACTGGCTGAATGCTGCATGTGTTGATGAGTGAGCGTGTGTGGGGAGCGGTCGTGTAGAGGTTAGCACGCTGCACTATGAACCCGGGGACGCAAGTTCGATTCCAACTCACGGCTGATACCAGTGACGATTATCTGAACCGGTTCTGGGTCTCCTCACCGAGGTCGACTCAGCATCAAATGAGTACCTGGTGCGTTGTGTGGTAAGCATCAGCACTGGGGAGACAAATGCGGCAGGGCGTGGTGCTGGCCACCGATCCCCTCGTGTGCCATGCCGGCCTTAATTGGTGCTTGCTAACAGCACTTGCCCCTACAGCCTGCGTAGACTATACGGGGATCTTTGTCTTTGTTGTGTGTGTGGGTGAGTGGTTGGCTGAGTGTCCAAGCAATAGTGTGGGTGAGTTCTAATTGCGTCTGAGAATGCACGAGACATTACTAAAAAGGACCAGCTCACCAAACGCAGCTACAGCTGCTTCCTGTAAATGGGACAGCATGTGCAATCACTGGGAAAGATACACACCACCCAGAGAGGAACGAAAACAAAGATCCCCTTTAGCCTTGCAGCCTGCTGGGTCGAGTGCTGTTAGCGAGCACTTATTCAGGCTGGCACAGCGCAGGAGGTTGGTGTGTGGCCAGTGCTGATGTTCATAATTCGCACCAGGTGCTCATTTAGGGCTGAGACTACCTAGGGGATGCCCAGGACCAGTTCAGATAATTGCTACTGGTGCTAGCCGCGGAAGGGAATCGATCTCAGGTGCCCTGGGTTAGTAGTACAGGATGCTTACCATTGTGCTATCACTCCACGCACGAGACGCACACACTCACGCAAGAACATTGCCAGGCATCCATTGCGCATGCATGTAATGCAGGCGAGGGCTGGTGGACATGAGGGTTGGTGGAACACGTACAGATTTGTGAAACTCTCAATGAACTCGAGGCAGCCAGGAGTTCGCAGGACAGTACAACCCAAATGGCTTCTTGAATATGTGTTACCCCTAATGGTAAGCGTGGTGGGTTTTTTGCCGGATAAATTTCAGGCTTTCCTTCGACACGAAGCCAAATACTCACAAATGGAATTGGCCAAACATTCCAATGCAGGACCCTCCTGAAAAGGGGTTTCACTTGATCGATTCGCGTGGGGCTGTGCGGTTTAATTTGTTCTATGCCCAGTGACCACGCCGTGACTTGGGTAAAAATGGAGTTTCACAATGTGGCTCAGATAGTGTGACATGCAACAACACTTTCCCACAGCCGGCCTTCGACGTCAGCAAAAACGTCAGTAGGAACTACACAAGGCAGCCAGCCCTTACCATGCACGAAAACCAAACATCCCACAGCCCCCCCCCCCCCCCCCCGAAAAGCCTTTAACAAAATGTCGGGGCAACTGCTGGAAGCGAGCACCTATGAAGGTGGGCGCTGGACACGAGGCAGTGGATGGCTAGCATAATACCCATCCGCTTTTGTCTCCCTAATTCTGAGGTTTACACGCTGAATCAGGTACTTATTTAAGTCTGAGTCTACCTTGGGGGGGAGTCCAGGAGCGGTTCAGATAATCGTGATTGGTGTTGACTGTGAGCGGGAATCGAAATCGGGTCGCCGGGTTCGTTTCGCAACGCGCTAAGAGCTGCGGCACTGTTCCCCAACGCACATTTCGGACACACGTAGACACAAGTACACACACGTAGACACACGTACACACACGTACACACACGTACACACACACGTAAACACACGTACACACACGTACACACACACGTAGACACACGTACACACACGTACACACACACGTACACACACGTAGACACACGTACACACACGTAGACACACGTAGACACACGTACACACGCGTACACACACACGTACACACACGTACACACACGTAGACACACGTACACACACGTACACACGTACACACATGTACACATACGTAGACACACGTACACACACGTACACACACGTAGACACGTAAACACACGTACACACACGTAGACACACGTACACACACGTAGAGACACGTACACACACACGTACACACACGTACACACACGTAGACACACGTAGACACACGTACACACACGTAGACACACGTACACACGTACACACACGCACACCCCATGGGCGATAGGTCACGATCCATGTTCATCCTTCCCGTTGTGCTGACACAATGAGAAAGGATGCATTGTGAGAAGTCAACCGTAGATAGACTGTCACATTTGTATTGTACGTCTCATTTGTACTCCCTGTCTCGTTTGTATTGCTCGCTCTTGTATGTTGTCATGGGAAAGGGGAATTTCTAGAGGCATTTATTGATTCAGCCCCTCTCATCACGTCGCTACTGCAGTGACGTGATGAACAGCCGCAATCCTGCCCATGATGACATTTCAGAATGTTTTTTTTGTTTTCCCTCGCGCGTATCATTTCTCTAATTCTTGCACTGCTGGTCTCATGCGTTCCACTGCCATGCATTGCACATCTCCACATAATGTCAGTTCATCACGTATGACCGGTCCTAACGCACGCACGACTCTCTGCGTGCACCGTGAATGAAAGAATTGGCAGTTCTTTTTTGACGGTTTCGTAAGATTTTCATTTAATTTTATGTCCAAATTCGCAGATACTTTCTATATTCGTCATCCGCCCCAGCTCTGACATTCAACCTCGGGAAACAACTGTGGTCACGCCGTACCGAGGAAACAACTGTGGTCACGCCATGGCAATTCCAAGGATTTGTGTTTACATGGCACTTAACCACAGCCGCAGCTCAAAGGGCTTTTTTTTAAACTTACAAATGGCACGAAAATTAAATGGTGTATGGGAGTAAGGCGATGATTAATAATAAGCCATCCAGCTCAAATCGAGATTGAAAACGCATTTCTTTCGAACTGCTGAGCACAATTGGCTACGTACGGTGTGAAAGAAGTTCAACGCACACACAGTACGTACCTGTACTACACCCGGGCTAGTTTCACACAATATTCACACCGCATTCAAGGTCGACGTCCGCTTGGGCATGTTCCCTCCTAAATTTGCTCGTCTTCGCTACCACCAACCATCGCTGTGGCTCCCAGCCAAATGTCCCGTCCAAGCCCAAAGTACTCACACCTTTTCTATTTTACGATTTTGTTCCCAGTCCGCCTTGTTGTTCAACAGGGTCGACATCTCGATGCCGACGCCCAGACCCTAACGCTTGTATATTTGGAGTTTTGCGTGTTTTCCCCGTGGTCGTGTGGCTTTTTTTCCCGTAGAATGAACGTGCGTTTAAAGCATTTTGACTGCAATAAACTTCCACGCGACAAGCCACTTCGTGGAAGTTTTATCATTTGTTGCCATGTCACTTCTAAAAAAGAGCTTTATAGCTCAGGGGACCTAACCACGTTGATCCACGGTCTTGCACATTTCACTCAGCTTTGCCTCACCGGAGAAGCCACATTGGGCAATGTATAAACCACGTGGGATACTGTTCAATCCTTTTGAGTAAAAGTACAGCCCACGTGGCCAATGCACGGTCCCATGTGGGAACTGCGAACTGACGAAACCCTTATCTTGTGCCAGCACCACCAGCCCGTCTGGCTGGCAAAATGCTGAGCTTTGGTTTAGATCGTCTGAGGAGACAAGGAACCAAAAACCGCTCATTGGAACTCTATTCAAGCAGTTCAATTGCCAGTTTCAAGCAAGGACCGCAAAACGTTAACACAGAATATAACCCATATGCTCAAACAGGACCCATAGATTTACACGGGAATGTTACACCAGACCGATAAAAAATATGTTGGACTGAGGGACATCTTGGTTTGGTTTAGGCAGAACTCGGTACTCGGAGCACGCTTTGTGAGATTGTGTGTGGGGTCAGTGGGCGAATGTGGAATTTATTACCCTGCAACCACGGCGTTACACTACAACGTGTACTTAACACAATCACACTTAACTAAATTAACGATACCCTTACTAAGTTAACAACCACACCCTTACTGAATTAACCCAACCCCCTGACAGAAATAACAAGCGTGCCTTTACTATATGAACATTCAACTGCACCCTTACTAAACTAACGCTTAACAACCACAAACGGATTAAATGAACGCTCGACCACATCCACACCCTGACTAAAATAACATCTGGGCCGTCTAACATTGACATGCTAATCTCTCACATTTACATTGACGTACAAATTCCTTCTCTAGCTCCGCCCACTTACCCTTGGGTTGGGCCCACCAAAATCTATAAAAACTATATATACACAAAAACTATATACACACAAAAACTATATATGCACACAAAAACTATACATACACAAAAACTATACACAAAAACTATATATACACAGACAAAAACTATACACAAAAACTATATACACAGACAAAAACTATACACAAAAACTATATACACAAAAAACTTTATATACACAAAAACTATACATACACAAAAACTATATACACAAAACTATATACACACAAAAACTATATATGCACACAAAAACTATACATACACAAAAACTATACACAAAAACTATACATACACAAAAACTATACACAAAAACTATATACACAAAAACTATATACACAAAAACTATACATACACAAAAACTATACATACACAAAAACTATACACAAAAACTATATACACAAAAACTATACATACACAAAAACTATATATGCACACAAAAACTATACATACACAAAAACTATACATACACAAAAACTATACATACACAAAAACTATACACAAAAACTATATACACAAAAACTATATATACACAAAAACTATACACAAAAACGATATACACAGACAAAAACTATACACAAAAACTATATACACAAAAACTATATACACACAAAAACCATACACAAAAACTATACACAAAAACTATACACAAAAAACTATACACAAAAACTATATACACAAAAAAACTTTATATACACAAAAACTATATACACACAAAAACCATACACAAAAACTATACACAAAAACTATATATACACAAAAACTATATATACACAAAAACTATATATACACACTATATACACAAAAGCTATATACACAAAAACTATATATACACAAACTATATATACACAAACGACATTTGGTGTGAATTTCCTCTCGTCGTTTTCACACCTGATGATGACTGCTTGTGTTGCAGTCGAAACGTCGTGAGAATTTTATTGTTTTTATATATTTTATTATTTTAGTGTTTCCCCTTCTACGTGACTTTACCGAAATAACCAAGAATATGAATCACTGCAGTCACGAAAGCTTTAAATCAAAATGCAGGCTGCTATTATTATTTAATGTAAAACACCGAGAGCACCAACTGAATGTTTCCAATTAAAAAAGCAGTGCTTGAACGGCATCAAATTTTTCCTTGAGATGATAACAAATTTGACCAAATAAAATCTTTTGTGTATCAACAGAGGAGGATAGGGTCCCTTTAACTTCGATCTGCTGAGGAGATTGAATTAAGTGAGCTCGTTAAGGCGCTTCGTGAAGTGAGGCACCTGGGCATCTGAGATCAAAACGGAGGTAAAAATAACCAAACGTCAGGGCTGTGTTAATATGGGTCTTGCCTTTACAGCCGTCGTCAGTGATTCCGGCCTCACCTGGATGGTGCAGCCTTTGAAGTTGGGCCCTTTCTTGAACCAAACGCCGCTCACGGTGTGGCAGGAATAGTTGGCGAAACCTGCGGCAAAGCGGCGTGTGAGTGCCGAAGCAGGCGCCGGTAAATCGCGCAGCAAGAGTCTAAACAAACTATATTTATTAAAAAAATATATCAATCAGTCACCGACTGCCATAAAGTAAAATTAAAAACGCATTTACGAGTTTTGAAAACACTCTTTTTTCTCATATTTCATTTAAAATGCTGATATACAGGAGGGGGTTACCGCTCCAGGCAAAATGAAAAACTCTCCGCAGAGTGCAACAGGGGAATGCCGTGTAATACTTCTCTCTCTCTCTTTTACGTGAACAAATATGAAAGCGCCTTGAAGATTTTATGAACACGAACACTAAAGTACAAATGCTCGTGCCTCTAGTCACTGCTTTTTATAATAAGGCTCTGCCCGTACCGTTACTCCGTTTACAGCTTCCGCTTTGGATGTGTGCCCTGCCCAATGTGTCAATGCGATCTCTCTAACCTCGTGTATGTTCTCTACTCCACGTGTTCCTCTTCCTTCTCTCTCAGTGGAATTCCAAGCACACAATCGCCCATGGGTATGCATGTGCGTATGTATGTATGTATGGATAATCGTATATTAGTGTGTGTGTGCAGATGAGGGTGGAAGCGGTTAGCGTGCTGCACTGCGAACCCGGCGACAACGAGTTCGATTCACGCTCACGGCCAACAACAGTTGACGCTGATCTCAACTGGTTCTGGACCTCCCCTAGGTCGACTCAGCCTCAAGTGAGTACCTGGTGCGGTGTGCAAACATCGTCACTGGGGAGACAAAGGCGGCCAGGCGTGGTGCTGGCCACCCACTGCCTCGTGTGCAGTTCCGGCCTTCATAGGTGCTGCTCGCTAACAGCACTTGCCCCTACAGTCTGTTAAGGCTATATGGGGGATCTTTGTCTTTGTATATTATATGGGGATGTGTGTGTGTGTGTGTTTACAATGTGTCCTGGTTACCTGTGGAGTTGGGGTAACATGGAACTATCGCGAAGTTTGTTGAGGTCTCAGGAAACGTGACACCGCACACGCTCGCAGCAGGGCATGGATGCTGCACACACACGTATACACACACACATATACACACGTATACACACATCACACACGTACACACACACATCACACGTACACACACATCACACGTATACACACATCACACACACGTATACACACATCACACACACACGTATACACACACATCACACGTATACACACATCACACACACATACACACACGTACACACACACACGTAACACACACACACGTATACACACACGTATACACACATCACACGTACACAAACACATCACACGTATACACACATCACACACACATACACACACGTACACACACACATCACACACACACATATACACACACACGTACACACACACACGTATACACACATCACACGTACACAGACACATCGCACGTACACACACACATCACACGCATGTGTATACCACAACCACAGTCATATGCCGCATGCACATGTGGCTAGTAACACTTTTATGTTATCATTTGGAGAAGGGATTTCAGTGGGGCACAATTCAAACCATGAACCTTCAGGTGCTATTAAGATTGGCCTTTGACAATAAAGTCACCTATTTTATATCTTTTTGTGTTAGTAACGAATGTTTTTGTTTATTATGCGTAATCTATCACACACACATAGCAAATAAATACAGATATAACACATGTATGTCATGTATCAAGACAAAGATCCCCCATGTAGCCTTAACAGACTTTTGGGGCAAGTACGATCAGCCAACACCTATGAAGGCTGGCACGCCCAGCATCATGCCTGGACGCCTTTGTCTTCCTACCGGCAAAGTTGACACATTTCACCAGGTACTCATTTGAGGCTGAATCGACGTAGATGAGGCCCAGGACCAGTTCAAATAATCGTTACTGGTGTCGGCCATGAGCGGGAATCGAAACTCGGATCGGCACTGGGTTCGTAGTGCAGCGCGCTAACCACTGCGCCACCTGCTCCTAATGCCATTAATCACACACACAAGTTGGTGTTGGTGTGTTAGGAGGCTCCTAACGTTAGTAGGCTCCTAACGTAGAATATCTGTGTTAGGAGGCTCCTAACACAGATATGCTGCGTTGACTTTTCCACCTGAAGACGGAAGCTTGTGTTGCCTCCGAAACGTCGTGATTTAATTGTTTTATTTTGTTTTATTTTATCTACGTGACTTTACCGAATAAAACCAAAGAGTATGAATCCTTGCAGTCACGAAAGCTTCAAATCTAGAATTTGTTTACATTGTTTTCCGATTTGGTAGTGGAAACAGCTCTCGCTTCAATTAACCGTTATTTCGGTTAACAGTAGTTTTCGTGGAATGGATTACAAACATTAACCGGGGAACTACTATAATGATTTAAGGATGAAAGGATCTTACCCTCTTGGCTTTTTTTGGATTCTCTGTGTGAAAAAAGAAACAAGGCAGCAGTCAATAAAAATACACTCAGTGGATTCTTCGACGTGCGTACAACTGCAAGTGTAAGTACGTGCTGCTATGGGTTGTGTGCGTGGAGAGCGGCAGTGCAGTAGTTTGGACGCTGCGTTGCGTACTGCACTGATGAGCAGAGTTTGAGTTCTGGCTATCCAAAAACACAGTGGCCAGTTGTGTTTGAAACTGTTCTGGGCCTCCCTTAGGTCAACTCAGCCTCAAATGAGTTGTCTGGCACAATGTGTAAACATAAGTAACGGGGAGACAAAGATGTCTGAGATTGGCGTCACTCACACCACTCTTAAGAGTTGCTACATTTATGTGCGTGAAGCCACTCTTAATAGGTGCTTGTTAACAACAATTGCCCTAACAGGCCATACAGGCTACACGGGGGATCTTTGCTTTTGTGATTAACCCCACATAAATATACCAACTACCATGCCCCCGGTTTGCCTCTATAGAGCAGGTAAAAAAGCAACATACGCATCGGTTATGGCCTCATCGATTAAAGGTGCAAGTGCTGTTAGTGAGAACCTTTGAAGACCAGCAAAGTATATACATTGGAGGTTGTGGTGGTTCTTGGTTTAGAATTAAACCCGAGCATCATACGCAGTGAGTTTGATATGTCGGCCTGGTCACTTATGAATGCACTAAATACTGAAGGTCAAGAGTTCATCACTGCCAATGCAGTTGAATCCACCAGAGCTCGCCATTGCTTCCTTCCTTTTGCCAGGACCCTCACCCGTTTCTCCTTCGTTAGGTCTGCTCTCAGCCTCATCATCACCAGCGTCTGTCTTGATTTGGGGGTCTCTTTGTTACATAGTCGATACAGCCTTCAAGGATCCTACAGTCTCATCACCATCTGTCTGTAGGTCTTGGCATGTTATGCTGTGTGTCTGTTGGCAGTGTGGATGTTGTATTGGTTTTGTTGAGCATTTGTTGCGTGGTTTGTCCAGTTTGGTTGTTGCCGCGTGTTTGTGGCGTGGTTTTTGTTTACGTGTGGTTGTCGTCTAGACGTTGGGGTGGTTACTGGTGCATGGTTAATGTTTCTGTTGTTGCGTGGTTACTGCTTGTGGTTGGTGGCGTGGATGTTGTGTGGTTACTGGTAGGTGTTGATGATGTTTGTTGCGAATGTTTTTGGTGGAGGGTGTTGGTGGTAACCACGCACCCACACATTTATCTCGTTTCTCGCGGAAGCCGGTCGGACAGATGCACTTGTAGCTGCCTGGAGAGTTGTGGCAATTATACGTCTTGTCGCATATGTCATCCAAACACTCATCAATGTCTACGCAGGGACACATGGGGAGACACGAGAGACATGGTAACACGTGAGGATAAACGGGAACATGTGGGGACATGGATACATGAGCACACGGTGGTTGCAAGAGGACAGGGACAGATGCAGACATGGGAAGATACAGGCAACAGGTGATGGATGGAAATCATGAGATGTGGTGAGACAGGAGAAGGGGAAAGAGAGATACAGGGACATCATCATCATCATCATGACCTCGCCACGGATAAGTGGATTTATGAGTGGAGTTGTGGCAATGTGGTAAGCGCATTGCACACGTCGCAAAGGCTTGGCTCCTTATCCAACTGCAAAACCGCATCTCCCTCCAATCCTCAGGCACGTAAAAAAAACACTCCCTTTCCACGGGAACAGCGAGACTTTGCCCAGCCCAGGATTGTTCACCCGATGCTGGCAGGGACGGAGCCTTCTCAAGCGCAGCCCAGAAAATCTGGAACACCCTTCCACCCGCCGCCCCGCCTGCCACAGGACATCCGAAATGTGCCGAGTGTCTCCCAATTCCGTTGTCTGTGCAAGACGCACCTACTCAGACTTGCCTTCCCATAACATCTACAATGTAAGAAGGGGGGGGGGGGGGGGGGGGGGGGGAAATAACCTCAAACAGTTTGTATGCTTATTATAAATTGTATGTACTACTTATTCTTCTTACACTATTCATTGCGCACGGTTGCACTTTATTTTGCGCGCGGTTGGAATTTACTTTGCTCAGTGGTGTTAGCCGCTAAGGTCGTGATGGGTTTCATTCCTGTTGCTCCGTGCCCCCTGTCACCGTTCCCGTTCCGCTGAATGTGCACTGGTGCATACTTTATTGAGAATGATATTGGCACGTAAAATAAAGATGAATTGATGATTGATTGGCGTGTGTGTGTGTGTGAGATGAGACTTGCCCTCGCAGATGGTGATGCCGTTGCCAATATAACCTTCGACGCACATGCAACGCCCCGTGGTTGCGTTGCAGCGCGCGTCAATGTGGCAGGGCGTGCACGGAGCGACCTTCGTCACGTTCTCGTATGCAGGGCCCTAGAGTGACACGGGGACACGGGGACGTGAGGACGCACTGTGACAGAGCACACATTGACCCCTCGTGACCTCAAGAGACGCAAGGACTTGGGGAGACATGGACGTGGGGAGAGATGAGGGAGGGACACACGAACGCGGGAAGACACAGGGACAAGATGAGATACAGGCAGACGCAGGGAGACGCATGAAAGGAGGGACGTGGACAGAGGCATTGGTATGGGAAGACACAGAAATATTGTGGAGACGGAAGGAAAAATAAGATAGGGGAAGACATGTCATCATCACCTACAAGGAGAAAAGAGGATATGAAGATACATGAATAGACATCTGGAAACACATCAAGATACTGGGTAATAGATATGGAGACACAATGAGATGTGGGGACATGGGGAGACAAGGGTGGGAGGGGGATACAGTTATGCACAGTTATGTAAAGATCAACAACATGCAGACATGAAGACACTGAGAGGTATGGACCCACCCACAGAGACGAGGGGATATAGACAAAGACTAGAGGACATGGAGAGGGACACCAATGCACTAAGATATACATATACAAATTTCGATTTAAAGCTTTCGTGACTGCAAGGATTCATCTTCTTTGGTTCTTTTGGTAAAGTCACGCAGAATAAGAATCAAATAATAAAATAACTCGATAAAATTCTCACGACGTTTCGGCCACAACACAAGTGGCCTTCTTCAGGTTAAAGGAACAAACCTGTCGGGACGACAGGTTGAAGCTCTGTCGTCCCGACAGGTTTGTTCCTTTCACCTGAAGAAGGCCACTTGTGTTGTGGCTGAAACGTCGTGAGAATTTTATTGTGTTATTTTATTTTATTATTTTATTCTCATTCTACGTGACTTTACCGAAAGAACCAAATAAGATATATACGTATACAATTGAAGTCTCATGATCTGACTTTGCATCCATATTCTAAAACACTACAGAAGGATTTGTCTCGCAATAATGACTTCCATTTTTGATTTAAAGCTTTCGTGACTGCAGTAATTCATATTCTTAGTTTTTTCGGTAAAGTCACGTTGAAGAGAAACAACAAAATATATATAAAACAATAAAAAAATTCTCACGACGTTTCGACCATAACTCAAACGGTCATCATCAGGTGTGTCGGTTTGCATAAATTTATTTTGAAAACAGCATATTTTTTTATTTATATATATATATAAAAAATAACGTTTGCGTCACGCGCAACGATTGGCAGTTTGCCCAGGACTAGTCCATCTATTTTTTGAAAAGAGGAGGGGGGAGACGAAATTTGTTTTTATGTATGCTGTCTGAAAGCCACTGTAAGCGTGAACAATCAATCAAGAACTGAAATGATTTATCAAATCTTTCCAATGATTGCTAAGATAGAATCCATCTTCTCGGTTGAAATTGTCTCTGTGCTTGTATATGTGGATAGCCTCATGAACGAATCTCTCATGGAAGCCAGATGGCTTACAAAGAACCTCCGTCTTGGAAAAGTCAATGGCATGTGAGCCTACTGAATTAGAACAATGATCTGCTACGGCCGAGGTGTTGGTCCTACCGTGTTTAAGGTCTGCTTTATGTTCACGAATGCGGTCCGAGATATGGCGTTTGGTTTCTCCAATGTAACTACTACCACAGAGGCAACTTAGTTTGTAGACACCAGGGTATTGTATGTCCGGAATCACATCTTTTACAGACGGAACCAGATCACGGATTTTATGTAATGTGTTGAAACGGACCTGGATCTTGTGTTTATTCAAGATTTTGGAGATCTTTTTTGTGATCCCAGCAATGTAGGGTAAAGTGATGGTTTTGAAAGGCTCCTCAAGAGGGTTCTTCTTCATGGTTTGAGTGATAGCTTTGCGGATTGTATAGTCGGAGTAACCATTAGCCCTAAGAGCTTGGTGTACGTGCTTGAGTTCACTGCTTATGTGTTCCTGGTCGGATATGCATTGGGCTCTATGATACAGAGACTTGATGAGAGAATTCTTCTGTGATGGATGGTGGTGGGAATCCGGTTTCAGATAAGCATCCGTATGGGTAGCTTTCCTGTAGACAGAGTGGCTCATTGAACCATCAGGTCTCTTTTTAATTAGGACATCCAAAAAAGGTATCTTGCCATCTATTTCGACTTCCATGGTAAATCTGATGGCTAGATACCTTTTTTGGATGTCCTAATTAAAAAGAGACCTGATGGTTCAATGAGCCACTCTGTCTACAGGAAAGCTACCCATACGGATGCTTATCTGAAACCGGATTCCCACCACCATCCATCACAGAAGAATTCTCTCATCAAGACTCTGTATCATAGAGCCCAATGCATATCCGACCAGGAACACATAAGCAGTGAACTCAAGCACGTACACCAAGCTCTTAGGGCTAATGGTTACTCCGACTATACAATCCGCAAAGCTATCACTCAAACCATGAAGAAGAACCCTCTTGAGGAGCCTTTCAAAACCATCACTTTACCCTACATTGCTGGGATCACAAAAAAGATCTCCAAAATCTTGAATAAACACAAGATCCAGGTCCGTTTCAACACATTACATAAAATCCGTGATCTGGTTCCGTCTGTAAAAGATGTGATTCCGGACATACAATACCCTGGTGTCTACAAACTAAGTTGCCTCTGTGGTAGTAGTTACATTGGAGAAACCAAACGCCATATCTCGGACCGCATTCGTGAACATAAAGCAGACCTTAAACACGGTAGGACCAACACCTCGGCCGTAGCAGATCATTGTTCTAATTCAGTAGGCTCACATGCCATTGACTTTTCCAAGACGGAGGTTCTTTGTAAGCCATCTGGCTTCCATGAGAGATTCGTTCATGAGGCTATCCACATATACAAGCACAGAGACAATTTCAACCGAGAAGATGGATTCTATCTTAGCAATCATTGGAAAGATTTGATAAATCATTTCAGTTCTTGATTGATTGTTCACGCTTACAGTGGCTTTCAGACAGCATACATAAAAACAAATTTCGTCTCCCCCCTCCTCTTTTCAAAAAATAGATGGACTAGTCCTGGGCAAACTGCCAATCGTTGCGCGTGACGCAAACGTTATTTTTTATATATATAAATAAATATGCCGTTTTCAAAATAAATTTATGCAAACCGACACACCTGATGATGACCGTTTGAGTTATGGTCGAAACGTCGTGAGAATTTTTTATTGTTTTATATATATTTTGTTATTTTGTTGTTTCTCTTCAACGTGACTTTACCGGAAAAAACTAAGAATATGACTTCCATTTTGTTTAAAAAATATATTATTATAAAAATGTGCAATTATATAACACCAAGCTTTGGCTTGCAACAACTGTTACAACTTACACCACTTCCCTCGACGCTTTGCTCAACCCTGGGCAAATACTCCCGGGTTGTCGCCTTGTAGTGATCCGTGGATTTCCACAAAAGGGTTTACCCTCTCATGCGTGAAGTATTAACAGTAAAAACGCATAACATTGTTTAAAGTGATTTTAGTCAAAACAACCACCCAGGTGTTGAACAAGTATCATGTGACGTATGAACAAAACGATTCTATCTGGAGGACCCGGTGCGTGGACAGCCAGAGGGTGGGAAGTCACTCGGTGGAGATGCGCTGCAGCTGAGTGGGTGGGTGAAGAAGAGCATCGTCCAAACATCATCGGGAATTTAGAAACCGCCGTCGCTTGTTAAACGGAACCGCCAAACGTCCCGTCCCGTTCCCCCCGGCTGCAGCTCTTGAGCAGAATTAGTCGCTTATCATTTCCCTGCTTAACATCTGTGGTGTAACTTGAGCCTCACTCCCCTCATTAGCCTCCTTTCCCCATCCCCCCCCCATGTCACAAACTCCTTTGTGCCAGGCCCGTGAGATTCCGCGATGAACGTTACACTCACGGAGGTTGGCAGCGGTGCCCGTGGCGAGGCGGACGAGTTGGCAGCGGGGGTGGTGAGGGGGTACGATGAGCGCTCAGATGCGGACGATGCGGACGATGCGTTCATGGCAATCCTGGCCTGGGAATCTGCGGACAGGAGACAATGGGTGTGTTAGAAGGGAGTCGTAACCACAGTGGTTCGAGGTGACCAATCATCATCTTCACTGACCTCAAACAAATCGGAACAAACAACTAAAGTCACCACTGTTATCTTCATCATCACCACCACCATCAGTTTCAATCATATAAAGACCATCATCATCATAATCACCTTCCTGAACATCACCACTATCATCACCTTCACTACAATCATTTACACCACCATCTATGTTGCTATAGCTATTATCATCGCTATCTTCGCCTTGATCTTATCGTCATCACTGCTAAATGAAGACCTCGCCATGTTGGTCATGCGGGTCGTTTGACCGCACTTCCTCATGCTCGTCATTCAGGATGAAGGCAACACGGTCAACACCCATGATATATCGCTTGGTAATTCTGCTCGCTGTGGCCAGGATTCAAACTCATGTCACAGTGGAAACACCATTTCATTGTGCCAACGTTCCTTAAAATTGTGATAGTTCACAAATGATCAAACCAAATAATTACATTCTCAATAACATTCATGCGGTGAAGTACATCTCGTTAAAATAAGGAGTGCAGATTCCTAAATGTGTTTTTTTAATTCTAATATGGAAGAAAAAAATCCCCAATTATATCCCAATTGTGCTGTTGGCGCCGTGTTGAGATGAAGTATTCATTCAGATCTCTGGCACAAGAGTGCAACCCTTCGTGTTAGAGAATGACTCACCGAAGTGAATTTTACAGTTAACCTCTGCGACCCCTTCAAGCTACGTCTGGTCCACATGATCACAGCTGGAATTCACACAATCGCTTTTTTAAACTCGCTACACAGTACCTGAGAACACAAATGAATCACTGGTGGGTGCCTGCTTTCAAACCCACATTATTGAGAACGCATGGATGGCCCTTCTGAAATGTTGGCGCTGCAACAGAAAAGGTTCTTTCCAAGTGTTTTTTTTACACAGTTCAGCACGGATTTCCTTCATTCGGAGCAAATTCGTGTGAAAAGCGCAGGACAATGGCAAGGGAAGTCCAGGGGCCTCGGTATCCAAACACTCACGTACTTTACGATGTATGAGTCAGCAGGCGATTTTTACAGGTATATCTGAAATGCTATTAGTAACCAATGGATGCTTTTATATGTAGGTGTTATTAAGGAGTGTGTAAAACGAACGTTGTTGTACTCCAGCCTATCCCGATGCATTTGTGCGGGATACGCGGCCGTGTAGGTGGGTGGGTAGGCGTGACGTCACCACGTACGATCCCAATCCAACGCAGTGGGATGCGGGTGACGTCACCACGCAAATGTGCGCGGTGACGTCACCACAGCGCCAAAAATTCCAGCCAGCAAAACTTTGTTTTTCTAAATTAGCATGATTAGCCGTTGCCAACATTATTAATACACGCGAATTATGTGTTTAATTATGTTTGGGTATTCAGTGCTAATCTAAGCATTCGAGGTGACCGAATTAAAATTACCAAAATCCTCAACAACAACAACAAAAACCACAACGACGATGATCAACGAGTCACGTGAACAAGCACTGCGTTTGGCAGTGTGAACCCGGCCACGACCCGAACCACACTCACCACACTCACCACGCTCATCAGACTCAAGGGGGGGGGGGGCGGTGAACACGGCCCAGCGAGCCTCCTTATAAACAGACATTCACGGTTCGAATCCTGCGGCCGCCCTGATTATAAGCAGGCGCAATAACCGATGGTAATACCGTAAAGTCGTCGTGATAATAATTCGCGACGTCTGCTTCGCAAAGTTGTCGGATCCCGTGACGTTGTTCGCAAAAAGGAAGGCATTGTGTCCCCTTCGTTCGGGTACGATTTGGCCAAATTTGAATATTTCAGATTGTAAATGTTGTGGCTTGGCTCTCCAACACACTGGTTTGCTGTACTATTGGCCACGTTCTGTTTACGTGACAAACCTTACTGAATGGCTGTGTCGGGTGGTGGTGGGTTTAACAACACATATATTTATGCGATCTAACAAAAACTGTATTATAAATAATCAAATAACATAGCGATCGTCTCCTACTGGCGGGCATTTATTTCATCCTAATTGTATTTATTTGCGAAAACAGTAGATAAGTGAGAATACATTGGTCTCTCGAGTTCTCGCTCGGTTAAACAAAATAAACTAGTAAACTTACAGAAGATTACAATCGGCTAACGTTTCAGGACATAGCCCTTCTATAGAGCAGACTGGAAGTTCGCACTTTACACTGTGGTGGGAGCCTGAGGAAACTGGGGAAATGGAAGTTACAAAGTTATCACAATCGAGTTGAGAGAAAAGGCATGGGATTAGGCGGAACTGCGCAATAACGTTGTGAAACTCGACGTAGATTTAATCGGATCTCACCTCAATGTGACCGAAGTTTGTGTAAACATTGTTACGTTGGACTAAATGGTCCTCACACCAATGTGTCTGCAATCTGCAGTGGTAAACCAGTAAAGAAGTCTCCAGGGCTGACAATGGTAACGATGGTTTTAGCTGATGATGATGATGCTGTTTCCACTCACCTCTCTGCTGTTGCAGGACTAAGCCCATGATGATGATGAGACGCATGGCGACGTGAGTACACACAACCTCGTGTGGATACACTGAGTCTACCATGTGTCCACACACACACACACTGACGCGTGTATATACACACACACTGACCGTGTATACACACACTGATCCGTGTGTATACACACACACTGACGCGTGTATACACAGACACTGACGCGTGTGTCCACACACACTGACGCGTGTGTCCACACACACTGACCGTGTATACACACACTGATCCGTGTGTATACACACACACTGACGCGTGTGTATACACACACTGGCCCGTGTCCACACACACACTGACCGTGTATACACACACTGACCGTGTATACACACACACACTGACCCGTGTATACACACACTGACCCGTGTACACACACACGCGCGCGCAACACAACTGACCAGTACATTCACAATGAGCTCATTGCCAACAGAGTGGACTCTTGGGCCAGTCCCAGGCCACACCCCTCATCCACCACCAGCTCCTTCCCCACGCAGTGCCCAGAAGCAACGCCCCAACTTCTTCCTTGCACAGGGAGCCCGTCAAAGAAAGAATAACATTGACCACGCTACGGCTTAAATAGGAGGGCGAGGTCAAAATAACGGCGTCGAGAGATTGATTTTTCTCACCACATCCACCAATAACACTGCTTCGCGCAGACACGTATATGACAGGAAGACGTTTCGGGCAATGACCCTTTTTCAGAGCAAAGAGAACATGGGAAGGGAGATTTAATTTGTAGTTAGACATCGCACTTTATACTGTGGGGCCCTGGGAAAACCGGGACATTAAAAAGCGTTAGAAATATATTTTAAATAAATTGATGTCTGAGCAGTTTTAATGAGTCAAAAGTGATTTCCTGCTCATACAATCATTGCGTACAATCCACGTTGCTAGGGTGACGGCGAATCTATCAGTCACAGTTGAATTCGCCACAAATTGGTGCTCATCTTATCGTCCCCGGAGGGATGATGAGCTGATTCAACCCCTAACCAGGATTTGAACTCGTTATACCTCCGATTGCGAGACGCTCACTCGACCACTGCGCCATCATTCTGGCAGTATAAATAACCAACAACACCTTCACAAGTCAACTCTGTGTTTGTCAACGTGTTCCCATTAAAAGTAGTAGAAACAAAAACATTACAGAGAGAACGACCACAAGGCAAGTGCCACAAGTGACCGCAAATGAGCCCGTGAGCAGTGTGAAGCCACAGCACGTGTTAGTTATCATGAGAATCAGTGTGAAAGAGTCCACTGCACATTACAGAGATGATTCTCATAAACATCGGGCAGCTGTATGTGTGCGTATGTCTGTTGAACTTCTTTCGCATTTCTTCCGTAGCCAGTCGTGCGAATCGGAGGTGCGGGTGAAGGAAAACAAACTATACACAAAAGGGAGTTCTAAAGAAATGAGCGATCATGACTGAGCGACAAGGCGTTATTTACCCTTTCGGGCATAAACACAGGTGTCAAGAATGAACAAAAATAAACACTAAATAGACACCTATAACAAGGCATCAAGTCTACATTGATGCCTTGTGATAGGGGTTTTGTCATCTGTATTTTTATACCTTCTCTATTATTTAATACGAGGGGTTGTTCGGGGGCGCCTTCGCACAATCATTTACGGCCTTCGACCAGGAAAATCACGAAAAAAATTGCACACGAACGACGCATTCACGCAAGCACCCGATGCTCCGTTTTGAAGTTTAAAAATGAAACATTTTTGTGTTTTGAATTTAGATAATTTTATTTCTTCATTAAAAGCTTATATCATTTTACATCTGGAAGACTTAATTGAAAACGACATTTCGTGTGAATTTCCTCTCGTCGTTAAGTAGATGGCCTTGCTTGGGGGGTTCGGTTCGATGCGGACTTTCACCTGTTTGTGATTGCGGGATCGAGATAAGGCGACGTGGAGCTGCTGGCCATGCGAGAAGACCACTCTCTACAGATCGATTCCAACGTGATCGAACGTCTGTCCCTGCGCCTCCGTCGTTCATGCAGGGGGCACGTGTAGGTTTACAGCGCCCCCTGCAGGAAAACTACGGAAAGTGCAGCGTTCATCACAGAAATAAAGTTGTGCGCTTATATAAGAGTATGATGATAAAGTACTGACATAAGAATCCCAGAGACAATCTTGACTCTGCTAGATAAAAAAAACTCATTTCTTTAGAACTGCTTTTTGTGTTTAGTTTATTGTCCATCCCCCGCACCTCCGATTAACACGGTTGGCTATGTACGGTGAGAAATAAGTTTAACGTACATAGGCACGTATACATGATGAGACAATGAGTGTCGAAACGGATCCAAAGTTTTCTTGTGTTTGAAATCAATGCTGCTGGTAATTGTGCACTCCAGGAAATCCGTGGGGTTCGGGTGAACAGACGAAGGATATTTATCGCCTGCGTATCGATGTCGGTGACATTTTGGTGACCCAAATCACTCGAGTAAGTTTATTTCTTCTCGGTTGAAGACTCATTTCTTTAGATCTGTTTTTTTTGTGTGCTTAGTGTGTTGTCATTCCCCCCGCATCTCCGATTAGCACGGTTGGCTACATACGATGCGAAAATGAGTTCAACACACATCATTCAAACTTAAGAAACACTGTGTTGGTGGGTCCTGGGCACCATGGATGCGAGATGTTAACTACCTCGCCTGGTATACAGGAGGTTGTGGGTTCGATCTCGACGCTGACGCCTGCTGCTGTATATTTAGAGTTTGCGCGTCTCTCTTCTCGTGGTCGTGTGGATTTTCCTCCGGGTCCTCCGGTGTTTCCCTCCACATTTAGAAACGTGCGTTTAGAGTATTTGTCTGCTCTAAATTTCCACGTGATAAGCCACTTCGTTGGACTATCGTTTGTGCCCATGTTGCTTTTTTTTTAAAACACCAATATAGCTCAGCTGGCCTTACCTGTTTAAATAAATTATATATATAAAAATAAGTTTTTGATGGCTTTAAATTTGTGCGGCATGGCTTTGCCGCTGTCCAACTCTTGGTCCGGTGTCACAGCGCCACCCAGCGGACACGCTCGCCTGACAACTCGGGATACCACGATAATATTCTTCACGATACGATAAAAGATTTAACATTTCACGATATGACGATTATCGCGACGTCAGTTTCCCCTTTTGGGTTTGCAGTCCGTGTAATTGTATTTCAAATGTTTGATGTTCTTCAGTACCTCGAGTACAAGTTAAATATAACTTAAACGTTCTTAATGTGCAATTCACTCAACATTAGCCGGTCACAAGAATCTGCCTAACCACTGCAAGGCTTTAAAAACGTCACATTTGAACTACAGGACATACTGTCATTCAATTAGCAAGCCGAAATCAGAAATGTTATACAATTTCCATGCGGTCAGTTCTTCCGGAAAGTAGAAGAGTAATACAACGGATGACCGCTATCAATTTACAAATGTCATCCTTAAATGTGTCCTTTCATTTTTTTATTTAAAGCTTTCGTGACTGCAGTGATTCATATTCTTGGTTCTTTCCGTAAAGTCACCACGTAGAAGGGAAACAATAAAATAATAAAAAATATAAAACAATACAATTCTCACGACGTTTCGACTGCAACACAAGCAAACATCATCAGGTGTGAAAACCACAGCAGGAAAATGTATTATTTTATTGTTTTCCTTCTACGTGACTTTACCGAAAGAACCAAGAATGTGTCCTTTTATTTACATTTTGAGAGAAAATTTAATATTTAGGAACGTTGAACAACTACATTAATGACGATTTAAGTATTGTTGTTTTTTTTTTCAAAACGTGACGTACGATTATTTATCACTGGTCTTATATCGCTAAATATATCGCAGCATCTCCAGAGCGCGGCAAGACTCATTCGTAAATAAAACCGGCAATAGCCCTTCATAATAGAACGCCAGTCCTTCAATCACCACCTAAATTAACAGCAGTGCTAGATGAGAGTGAAACCCATCGTTAGGACAAGAGAGTAGGCAAACTATTGCAGTTAATTAAGGTGAAAATGTTTGCACATTTAAGAGCACGTAATATTCTTCACGATATATTTATTAAAATGTGAAAAAATATGGAACGCTTCACGAATTTGCGTGTCATCCTTGCGCAGGGGCCATGCTAATCTTCTCTGTATCGTTCCAATTTTAGTATATGTACTGCCGGAGCAAGTACACAACACATTAGTGTCGCGACGGGTATTTATAGTAGCGCGGAACCGAGTCGCTTTTCACTATGGGTCTAGTTAAATATTTTTTTCATCATTATTTGTAGACCATTAAATTCACAAATCTCATAAGCCACTATTATTGATAGTGAATCGTACTTCACGTTGAAAATGTGTTTTAGTCAACATATAATTTGTTGGGGTTTAGTTGCGTTTATATGTCGCAATGCATTGTGGGATTGACCGGGCGGTCATCGAGGCTTGGCTGGGGGCGGTCTCCATTCGCTCCGCGTCACGCATGTGCTCAAAATCTTTATCAGAATATTTGCACCGGAGGAATCTGGAAGTGGTGAAGGGAATGTCTGACTTGGAGGGAGAGACAAATGCGGTGGGTTTAAACCGCGCCCAGCGACTGTGACCGCATCGATGTCCGATCCCACAATGCAATGCGAAGTGATTACGGAAATAAACCCCAAAAAGACGTGCTCAACAAACAGGCTTTTTATACATGAACTACAGTTAAAGTTTGACTTAAATGGACAATAATATTGTATAATATTAATAAGTATTATTGTCAACATATAACATGTTTAATACTTTAACATTATTTTTGATAGACCCATAGGGTAAGTGGACGCCGGTAAGGCGGTATTATAAATAGCCATCGCGACATTGTAGCTGTTGTACTTGCTCCGGCAGTACATATACTAAAATTGGAACGATACAGAGAAGATTAGCATGGCCCCTGCGCAAGGATGACACGCAAATTCGTGAAGCGTTCCATATTTTGTCACATTTTTGTTTCCATACTCAACTGCCGTAACTAATGAAAAGCATGCATTTCTGTATTTGTATAAACTATTGTTTCACCGTGTATCTGGGTGGTAGATCTGGGAGCGGGCTAGGAAGTACAGCAAGTGGGTTCGTGTACCCGTCTGTGCAGATCTTTGAGCGTTAGGCTCATGTTTGGGGTTTTCCTGGGCACGTTGGTTTCTCCCTGAATGGAAAACTTCACTGTACTGTTGTACTCCCTCCAATATATAGATACATCATTTGGCTTTGACCCGTCAGTAAATTCAAACTGCCTCTGACCCAGGACATCTTTGTGCCACGCATGAGGGAATCCAAAAGGGCAGCAGTTGAGGACTCAACAAGATTCTTGACAAGATCGGCTGCTCCCCAAAGCTCGCCAGCCTCATATTCTCTGTCCACCGCAACATCAAAGCATGTTATAGGAATAGGTTTTACCCTTTTAACTGGCACTGCTTGTGTTGTGGTTATTGCAAACATGATGCCTTGAATGAAGGTGTCAGTTGTTGTGCCAGTTAAAAGGGTAAAACCTATTCCTATATCTTGTTACTGGCAAAGGAGGTCTCATAAATCAAAGCATGTTGTGCACTTGGTGCTCTTCTCTCCCTCACACCAACGCTGATCCCCCAGTTACATGCTGCTTTTTCAAGGCTCTCTGTTCCTCCCACACAGCTTAAAAGACGCTGTCAAGCTTGACAGGGTTCACTCAAGCGCTGTCTTCTGGACAGTCCTGTTTCTTCACCTGAGGACGGCTACTTGTGTTGTGGCCGAAACGTCGTGAGAATTAAATTGTTTTATTTTATTATTTTATTCTCATTCTACGTGACTTTACCGAAAGAGCCAAAGAAGATGTTGTGCACTGTGACGTCACAGCTTGCCATGTGCCCTAAACCAACGTTCCTCACGAACTTTCAGAGGGGGCCCACTTTCGCCGACAAGACATCGCTCGGTGCGAGGGCCGCCATACATTGCATTGGATTTGACAGCGTGATGTGGGGTGTTTTCACCCTTTGTGTATTGTCGGGGGCCGGACGTCAGGGTCCGCACTCAAGGCCACCAGGGGACGCCAGTAGCCCGCCGGCCTCGCAATGAAGGACACTGCCCTAAACCGTCAAAGCGTGCACAGTGTGACACCACAGGAGTCTCTGGACTCTGATGACACCGCTGTTTCTCTGCACTCTGTGACTTCACGATCTTTTCTGTGCACTGTGACATCACGGGGTTCTCGGCACTCTGTGACGTCACCGAGTGCTCTGTGTAATGTGGTTACGATGAGATGATGATGGTGGTGGTGACGATGAAGGTGACAGCGGTTCTGTAGTTATTGTTGACAATGATGATGTTGTTGTTGTCGATGTGATCCTACCTACACAGCGTCCCCGTCTCCGTGTGAATCCCGCGCGGCAGCGGCACTCAAAGCTCCCCGGAGAGTTCTGGCAGAGCTCATGCTTTGCACAGGTGTCATCCATGAGACACTCGTCCACATCTACACACACGGACAGACACAAACACCGATCAGGTCTGGCGCAGTGCAACACACAAACCACCGCTGCACCACTGCTTCCCACTGACACATGGCAGTGGTGAGGGTCCAAGGCAGGGGTGGGGGACGTCAGGCCCGCGGGCCGTATGAGGCCCGCAAAATCATTTAGTGTGGCCCTGCCAAGGCAACCGCAGGCAGGACTCGAAATTCAAAAAATCTTGAAGAGCAAACCTGGGAAAGCAATTGCGAGTAGCAACATCATCAATACCAGCTAACATCAATACCAGCTAACATCATCAATACCAGCTAACATCATCAATAACAGCTAACATCATCAATACCAGCTAACATCATCAATACCAGCTAACATCAATACCAGCTAACATCATCACACGCCTCACCAAAGAGAAGCAGTTCCAGCCATCACATTACGGGTGAGTTAATTAAATGTTTGACCAAATATAACAGGCTCATTTTTAAGTTGATAATTTTATATGGCCCGCGAATGATGTTTTAAATGTCCAAATGGCCCTTGGCAGAAGAAAGGTTCCCCACCCCTGGTCTAAGGGGAGGGGGCGATGGGGGCGTTTGCCTCCACGCATCACCACCCCCTCCCTCGAGACCTCAAAAATGTTTTTTCATTGCTATTTATTTCGTCGTTTTTTATTACAAACGATAATTTTACATGGCAGTAATCAAAAATGACGTCATTAAAATCACAATGCCAGAAAAAACATTGAATATTTATGTTGTATTTATAACATTTAATATTTCTGTTTTACTCATGTAGGGTAATTTTTAAACGGCGAGACTTTTTTCCGACCGCCATATAGACTTTTGGACCAAGTCCTATTAGTGAGCGCCGATAGAGGCTGGCACGGCACATGGGGGTGGGTGGCCAGCACCACACCCGGCCGCCTTTGTCTCCCGAGTGGCAATATTTACACACCGTACCAGGTACTCATTTGAGGCTGAGTCGACCTAGCGGAGGCCCAGGACCGGTTCAGATACGCGTCACTGGTGTTGGCCGTGAGTGGTAATCGAACTCGGGTCGCCGGGTTCGTAGCGCATCGTGCTAACCGAGACACTACCGCTCCCCAAAGACAAACACACCCACATTCACTCATTAACCCTACCAAACTCACCGGCACACACGATTACTCACACACACCCACCCACACCCACCAACACACACACATCCACCCATTCACCCACCCGCACTCACCATTACACACGGTGATGCCATTCCCGATGAATCCGTGTTTACAGAGACACCGCTGGCTGCCGTCAGGACGGGTCTCACAGATCGCATGCGGGTGACAGCGCACGCACAGCAGGCGGTCTTGCTGGACCCGCGGCATCACCTCGTCCGGCGCCTCCCATTCACCAAACACCCCCTCCAAGTGCTCCGGCTCCATCTCCACCTCGTCGCCCGACTCCCACTCCCCCGTCTCCCGGGAGTCTCCCATCGATTCCCTCGTCCACTCCTGAGCGCCGCCCAGTCCTCTCCCTGGGGGTGACAGCACCACGGCATCGGCGCTAAGTCCTATCAGAGTGTTACGATCGACAATGATCTATCCACTGTTGAATGAATGCATTCCCGCGTCGTCGCCATCCCTCACGGTCGCACGATTTCGTCACTCCGTCGGCGGGCGTCAGCCACTCCTGCCTGTTAGCGTCACAACACGACTATTCTAATTGTTAATTTGTTAAAATCTACAAGTGCATATCAATTTTATTGGGTCGGTGATGATGATGATGGGAATTAGGTGGACGTTTGGCTGTCGTGCTTCATCAACGTTTGCTGGGGATTTGTATTTGAAGGCTCAAAATTTCGACTCGCTGAATTTGCCGAATTCTTTGCGGTCACAAGTTGTACCTACAGGGACAGCTGCCACTAGGGGGTGCCCTTTCAGATGTGTGAGGATGGGAAGTGATGGACAGCCCTCTGGAGATGCCCCGGCATTTCAGAAGGGTGCTGTATCATAAACAAATAATTTCAATTACAATTTTTACAATACATTTTTTATGTTATTTATTTTGTCATTTTGGTGACTCGGGTGACTCTTGCAAATGAGACTTGAAAATTTGGGCAGTTCCACAATTTCGCATGTGCATTTCGTACACTTTAAAGAGTTCACACAATCAATAAGCTGACAATGACTCCTTCACGTGTCCATCTCTCCACATAAAAAACACACACATTTCTTCACACAAAGCATCAGCCGCACGGTCTTCTGGGAGTGCAGAGTTTATAATGGCCTTTAAGGAGTTAGGTAATTAGTATCATCATGAAGTGGCTTTTTGTATGTATGTTGTACGCATGTATATTGAACTTCTTTCACACGGTACGTAGTTAACCGTGCTAATCGAAGGTGTAATGTGTCAACCAATTAAAACTGATATTCAGACAGTATTGTCCACCTTTCTCAATAAGGGAGAAGTGCTCATAAAATACGGCGGTGTTGGACCTACTGAGACCAACCATTTCTCATCCACGCTGGGATGGTGATGTTACATTCAGTTCTGTCACACCATTGACGTTATATAACTAATAACTCGGTAAAATTGTGATTTAAAGCTTTCGTGACTGCAGGGATTCATATTCTTGGTTCTTTCGGTAAAGTCACCACGTAGAAGGGAATCATCATCAAATCGGACGATTGCTTGTGTTGCAGTCGAAACGTCGTGAGAATTGTATTGTTTTATATTTGTATTATTTCCCTTCTACGTGACTTTACCAAAAGAACCAAGAATATGAATCCCTGCAGTCGCGGAAGCTTTCAATCAAAAATAATAACTAGGTTAAATTTAAATTTATTGTTTTATATATATTTTATTATTTCCCTTCAACGTGACTTTACCGAAAGAACCAAGAATATGAATAACTAGGTTGTCTAAAATACAAACTTGATGGAATGGCACGGGCACGCGCGAACTTACAATCACAGACGCATGCCACACATGCGTAACGACTACGATTGCTTCTTTTCTTTGTTCGAGATGTTGCCCTACAAAGTAGGGCGAAGAAAAATTGTTTAAGACTCATTAGAGTGTTCCTCTCCACGGAAATCTTTAGTAAAAGGCGAAAGATTTATTCGCTCTGAAGAGAAACCAGAGTGAAGGTACTGCCACCACTCGTGGGTACTTATATAAATACGCTGTCTATTTACGCTATGGGGCCCCTTGGCATGTGTCGTTAACTTTTAATCTTCTGTATATCCATAATTTTATAATACATCTTAATATTATTGCTCACCTCGTTTAAAATTTGTGTAAATACTCTAAAGCTATTCACGTAAAGAAATACGTCTTTCTGTTTAGTCGTACAGCGGTCTGTCGTGCATAATTTCGTTATTCGACCAATGGGGAGGGGGCGGCGGTAAAACCGCGTCTCTCATTGGTTCCGAAGTTTCCGTCCTCCTCCTGCGTGACGCTCCCCGACTTGGTGGTCAAACGTCTGCAGACCAACAAAGCGCCCTCTTCATAAATGAGCGTAAGTCTCAAGAATCCGTGACAAGTTCCTGGGTAATCTCCAGCCCCAACAGATTGCAAAGGAGCAAGCGAGCACCCAGTGAAGGCCGCAACAGCCTTCAGCGGCACGCTCGGGATGTGGCCGGGCAGCTTCCACGCTCGGCCGCCTTTGTTTCCCGAGCGGCGATGATGTTTAAGACGCCGCACCGGCAAAGTCATTTGAGGCCGAGGTCGACCTTGGGCGGGGGGGGGGGGGCGTTAAGACCGTGAGCGGGAATCGAACTGGGGTGGCCGGGTTCGTGGCGTGGCGCGCTAACCGCTGCACCACCGCTCCCCGGCGGAGTCCGGCAGAGAGCGATGGCCGGGATGGGGTTGGCCCATCGCTTTAGAGCGCCACTGAGGTCTTCTTACATTGCAGCTGGGCAAGACTCACGTCCTCCTCCTTCATCCTCCACAGTCCAGGCCGGGTGCGACCAAGGCCGTTATTCTAATATATATTATAATATATTATAATTTATATTATAATATATTATAATTTATATTATAATATTACAATTTATATTATAATATATATTAGAATTATAATATATTAAAATATATATTGGGGGGGACACATCCCCCCAATATATATTCAAATATGCTCAAAATGTCCCCCCCCCCAATATATTGCTATAAAAAATGCTATGCTATGTAAATAAAAGCAACAATTTGCTCTACCTTGGCCACAATATCTGTACTTGTCTTCATATAAATCAATGCATAGCTTTCTGTTTATACGATTGTACTTTATTAATCCACTAGCTTTGCTACCCGGCTTCACCCGGGACTTGGATCCACTACGCCCGGCCGCCTTTGTCCCCCCCAGTGGCGATGTTCACACACCACACGAGTTACTCGTTTGAGGCTGAGTCGACCTAGGGGAGGCCCAGGTAGTGTTTCAAATAATCGTCACCGGTGGTGGCCGTGAGCGGGAATCGAACTCGGGTGGCCGGGTTCGTAGTGCGGCGCGCTAACCACTACACTACAATGCGTTACGCTTCCACACACACAGACACACACAGACACATACAGGGTCACGTGACAGATTTGACGTCACAGCTCACTTGCCGTGCAAAAAGTAAATGCATTATTGAGCTCCCCCCCAAAAAAAACCAATTGTATTTTTATAATGTTTGCATGGTGTACAGTCTGGAAAGTACCCACATGGCAAATTTGCAGTCTGTTGCATGTTGGGGAGTACGCTAACGATTTTGAACAGACAAACATTCACAACTTTGCCTTTGATATATATGGAGATTAACTTTTTTTCTAAACGATAGGTACTTTACCTTCTAGTTTGTGGATCGTGCACGTGACTCTATGGGTCTCTATGTAAGTATTTAGATTGTGTAATTGCATGTGAGTCTATGGGTATCTATTTAAGTCTATGGATCGAATAAGTGTATGTGAGTCTTGGGTCTCCATGTCATTCTTTGGATTGTATAATTGTATGTGAGTTTATGGGTCTGCGTGTACGACTTTGGATTGCGTAAGTGTACGTGAGTCTCCCGGTCTCTGTAAAGCTATGGACCATGTACGTGGCTAGGGGCCTATATGTAAGGCTGTGGATCTCAATGTAAGGACAGTGGATGTGGGTAGAGAAGAGGCACACAAATGCATGGAGAAGGAAAATCTGAGCAGCCGACCCCATTTAGTGATGGAGCATCCAGCTTAGAAGAGGCCCGTATGGTATTCAAATTATGGTATTTGTATTCCTCACGACTAAATAAAGATTCTGATTAAGCGCACTCCTGGCTGCTACCATTCATCTCATCGGTTAAAAAAAAATTCAAAAATAAAACAGCAACCCTGAATCACGGAAATTGACCAAATCCCTGGGTGGTGACTCATTCATCCCCGGGTGTGTCGAACACATGTGTGTGAAATAAAAAAATAAAATGCTTATCCATCTGTAAATCCATTACATTGCACCACAAACCTGGTGAATCTGAATTCGAGTCCAGCGTACGGCCAACAATCAGTGAAGCTTGTCTGAAACTGGCCGACTCAGTTGTAAACGAGTAAACCTCGTGCGACGTGTAGACATCAGCACTGGGCAGACAAAGGCAGCCGAGTGTGGTTCTGGCCACGCTTACCCATCGTGCGCTGTGCCGGCCTTCAAAGGTGTCACGGTAGCTAAACGTTAACTACTTCGCCTGTTATACAGGAGGGCCGCGGGTTCAATCCCGACCCTGACGCCTGTATACTTGGAGTTTGCGTGTCTCTCTCCCCGTGGTCGCGTGATTTTTCTCCGGGTCCTCTGGTTTTTCTCCTCAAACATTTAAAATCGACAACATGCGTTTAGAGTATTTGGCTGCTCTGCATTTACACACGATAAGACACTTCGTTGAGTTATCGTTTGTGACCAGATTGCTTCTGAAAAAACAACTATATAGCTCAGTGAGCCTTACCTGGTAAAATAAAAATAGGCTTTAAAAATGTTTTATGTGTGCTCGCTAACAGCACTTGGCCCAACAGTCTTTGTATGCTATACGGGGTATTTTGTCTTCGTGTGAGTTAGGGTTTGTGTGGGGAATCTGTTCTGGGACATTCTCATCAGCGAGAAATGGGACCTTGTAAGGATGTGAGTTCCCGCACGTGTGGGCACGCGAGTTCCCAAGTGCATTTGTGCATGTGTGCACGTGTGCACGTGTGAAGTTTTGTGTACACGTGTTTTTTTACTGTTTTTATAAATGCACGTGTATATATGTGTGTGTATTACACTGAGTGGGGAGCCGTAGTGTAGTGTGCACTATGAAACCGGCGACCCGGGTTCGATTCCCGCTCATCTCCAGTGATGATTGATCTGAACGGGTCCTGGGCCTCCCCTAGGTCGACTCAGCCTCAAATGAGTACCCCGTGCGGTGTGTAAACATCGCCACTGGGGAGACAAAGGCGACTGGGCGTGGTGCTGGCCACCCACCCCTTCGTGTGCTGTGCCGCCGGCCTTCATAGGTGCTCGCTTACAACACTTGCTTCAACAGTCTGTTATGGCTA